GGCTAGAGCCCCCTCCACGAGGCGCGCCTACGCCCTGAAGTGGAGTCTATTCACTGAATGGTGCGTCTCTCGCAGAGAAGACCCCCGAAATTGCCAGATTAGTGTTGTGCTCTCTTTCCTTCAAGAGAAGTTGGACAGCAGGCTGTCGCCCTCCACTCTCAAGGTTTACGTGGCCGCCATCTCCGCTTATCATAGCGCGGTAGCTGGCGGCACCGTGGGAAAGCATAACCTGGTCATCCAGTTCCTTAGGGGTGCTAGGCGAATTAATCCATCTCGCCCCCCTCTCATGCCCTCTTGGGATCTCGCCCTCGTTCTCACGAGTCTGCGATCCGATCCCTTTGAGCCACTCGAATCAGTATCTCTAAGATTTCTGTCCCTGAAGACAGCTCTGCTGGTTGCGTTGGCCTCCATCAAGAGGGTCGGGGACCTGGAGGCATTTTCGGTCAGTGACTCGTGCCTGGAATTCGGGCCGGATTACTCTCACGTCATCCTGAGACCCCGCCCCGGTTATGTGCCCAAGGTTCCTACCACCCCCTTTAGAGATCAGGTAGTGAACCTGCAAGCGCTGCCCCCGGAGGAGGCAGACCCAGCCCTTTCTTTAATTTGTCCAGTTCGCGCTCTGCGCATTTATGTGGACCGTACTCAGAATTTTAGATCATCTGAGCAGCTCTTTGTCTGTTATGGCGGTCGGCAGCAGGGAAGTGCCGTATCAAAACAAAGATTATCCCACTGGATTGTGGATGCCATTTCACTCGCTTATTCGAGTCGAGGTCAGCCGTGTCCCCCGGGAGTTCGTGCACACTCCACTCGGAGCGTTGCATCCTCTTGGGCGCGTGCACGCGGCGCCTCTCTAACAGACATCTGTAGAGCTGCGGGCTGGGCGACACCCAACACATTTGCAAGGTTTTACAATCTGCGAGTGGAGCCGGTTTCCTCAAGGGTATTAGGTAACCCTTTGGTGATTGAAGAGACAACTCGGTAGGGTGTTGAAACACGCTTGCGGCGCCATTCTCCCTAACACGGAGGTACGTGCGCCTTTTTTATCTGTCAGTAAAGTTCCCCGTCAGGTGAGCCCTGCAGATTCCTCCGTGGCCCCCAGCACTGACTCAGCGGAGGAGTCACTTGCTGGCCCACTACGTTGTAGGTCTGCCCGCTGGTCAGCCCGCGTTTTGGGTATAGGTGCCTGCTATGCGTGATCCCCACTAGGCGATCCCATATGCTTATTCCGCCACGGTTAAGTCCCCCCCCTGGGTGGACCCGTGTCTTCCCTCTCCGCTAACCACTCTTTTGCTATGCGTACTCCCCCTTTTTAGGGCTAGTCCATAGGTAAATTCTGCCATCTATCCCCCCCTTGGGTAACGGATGGCCTCCGCAGCGTCCTCCCTATCGGGATTGCACGCTTCCCAACGTACTGTCGTATTCCTAGAATTATCTAGATGCTCACGACTTCCCAAAAAATATATCTAAATCCGTAAAACTTCTGTTGAAGTAGGATAAATTAGGGCCAGGGACACGTTGGAGGACCGCGCCCCCCATGATGTGGGTGCGTCACGCTTGCTTGACTATCTCCTCATCGGGGGTGTTGGTAAGGTGCAGTCATTATGGCGCTTTCCATATTCTCCCATTCATGGCACTGAAGTTCCCCAACCGAAGGGGAACGTTCGAGGTTACAGAAGTAACCCTTCGTTCCCCGAGGAGGGGAACGGAAGTGCCATATTCCGTCGCCATAATGACTGTCCCTTAGCTGTTTGAAAGTCTCTTCAGCTTAAAAGGATGGCGTCTGCTGGCTTCAGGTGTGCTTATATGCTGAGATAATTGCAGATGTCGCACACCTGCGCAAGCTTACGCTGCCAATTAATTTCATTCATTGGCCCGTTCAATACTCTCCAGATAAGCGGCTTCTGATCCGAATCCTCCCATTCATGGCACTTCCGTTCCCCTCCTCGGGGAACGAAGGGTTACTTCTGTAACCTCGAACGTTTTGTGTTTACCTTATGATTAAAGCTGTTGCACGTCTGCTGCTTCCTGCCCTAAAATGAGTGAGTTTGAGTTAGTTCTACATTAAAGTATCGTTCAGAAAAAACAAAACACCAGCGAAGAAGCTTGACACAGGGGAACATAAAAATCTTACAGCCAGCTAGCATTCGGAAGTGTTATTGCAGAGCAACACAAACAGCGCGCAGAAGTATAAATGCATGACAACGCAGATTGCATGTGTTTCGGAAGTGTTATTGCATGGCTCTGCACAAGGCAGGTGCTGTGGGTCCCGGCGAATACTCAAGGCATATGTATAAATCAGTGTTATTAAAACCCTAAAGTTGACAGCACTTTTTATACAAATAACACGATTAATATAATAATTTTATTACTTGCATTTTTGTAAAATCTTAAAAGTAAACATATAAGGATAATATTGACTTCAAGAGTAATTTACAGCAAACGTATATCTTGATTTCTTATCTGAATGGAGCGCATCAGTAAAAAAAAAAATCAAGAGTATAATTTTCTAATTATGTTCATTTGTGGGCGGCGCAGTAGGTAGTGCTGTCGCCTCACAGCAAGAAGGTCACTGGTTCGAGCCTCAGCGTGACCAGTTGGCATTTCTGTGTGGAGTTTGCATGGTCTACCTGCGTTCGATTGGGTTTCCTCCGGGTGCTCTGGTTTCACCCACCGTCCAAAGACATGCGGTGCAGGAGAATTGGGTAGGTTAAATTATTGTCCATAGTGTTTGTATGTGTGCGAATGAGTGTGTTTGGGTTTCCCAGTAATGGGTTGCGACTGGAAAGGGACTTTCTTTTTTTTTTTTAAAGGGACTTGGCCGAAAAGAAAATGAATGAATGAATGTTAATTTGTAAATGAATTATTATTAGTAGTAGTAGTATGCCTATATGTTAAAAATGTAAGTAAATGGGATTGGGTTAAATATTCCTAACATTACTCTTTAAGAGTTGACACTAGCTGATTGGGAGAAAGGGCAGTCTGAGCTCAGGTAGGTCTAGAGAACTCCCCCAAATTTGCTTGACTCTGCCTATTCCTTGATTAATAGGGGTTGCCAAGGCAGAAGGAACCACCAACTATATCAGCATATGGCTATGCGTTGAAAGCCCAATGCAACAGGACATTATAGAAGAAACATATTTTCATGTATCAATTTTTTATATGCAAAAACTTCAGAAACTTTAGAAATATTCTTTTAATTTAACAACTTTTAATTTTGTACTCATGAATTTCGCAGAGGAAATCCACACCAACATGGGGAGAACCTGCAAACCCCACACAGAAATACCAACTGACCCAGCCGAATTTTGATTAAAATTAAATTTAAAAAGTTATTTTATTAAATGCTTTAACTGCACTTTTTCCCTGTCACGAGCACCACATAAGGAAAAAATGGCTTAACTTACCCCATTTTCCCCTACCATCTATTATTTCCTGCATAGTTACTTGTTAACAATGGATCATTATTCAAAAGTGTTGTTTATATTGGTGTTGCTTTTAATAGTGCGTTATTCAATACACCAGGAACGTCTCAAGCATATTTTTCATTGCATACTTTTAATGAACTTAACATTAAATTTGTGCCTATAACCTTCAGAAAACTCCAAATAATGATTGAAAATAATTAGTAAAGTTAATGTCGGGAGTCTGTAGAGATTCTCAGTTTTTCAGGTCATACCAAAATAGCTACAGAAATGTAGAAATGCAACAAGTCCTACTGATTTTAAATACAATACAATATGTCAATGTAACATGAACGGTCATCTTGTACGGTCACGTACCAGGAAATAAAGCAATTTTTTGATACTGTTGCTCCCCAAGTTTGTCAACAACCATCAACCCCACAGCTGAACTCTGATTGGTCTGTTCTTAACAAAACAAAACATTTCGGACTTTAAATATGGGCACACCTGTCTTCTGTGCTCTTTTAGAGGTGACCACAGATTGATAACAGGACTTTCATTGCTATAAGGATTAATCTGAACTGCATTTTCCCTTGGTGGAACAATCAAAAAGTGAGTAGAAGAATTATTTTTGGTATTTTTTATAAAATTATTTTGTTCAATTGTATAATAAAGGATTTAAACAGTGAATCTAAGTTTAACAAAACAAATATTTGTAATATCATGTAATAATAACTATTTATATGGTTCTCAAACTGGGGGACTAGTAGTACGCAAGCTTCCTTCTAGTGGTACACAGAGAAATATCTGAATAATGAAACATGAAATAATGAAACATGGAATCAAGAAAATTAACTTTTTGATCCTTACAATAAAATCGATATGATCAGGATTGTCTACTTCCTGAAGCACTCGATCACACCAGTGTGATTAGAATGTTTAGTGCATCACGTCATCAGATGATAAAAATCAATCTGCTTGGTGCAAAACCTGGAGAGGCGGAGCGGGGTTGAACTTTTTTTCACCGCACTTCGTTGTAAAACAAATCTATTAAACTAAATTAAATATGTAGACTAATGGATGTCTTCAAAATAGGGAGTTTTCACTGTTTCCTTACTTCACGAATGTAAAGGAGTAAAGTAAAGAGAAAAAGTAAAGTAAAGAGAAAGTAAAGAGGCCGAATGGAGGAGGCTTGTTCTTTATTCTCGTGCAGATGGTCTAAATGTTTTCTTGCTAATTAAGTGTTCTGTTTTTCCACCTATAAAGTCTGCATGTAAATACCAAATGCTCCATGGTGTGATGCAACTGACTCTTAAAAGGAATAGGAGATGAGACTCTGGTTGTTTTTTATGTATGTTTTGCTCAAAACACACCCAAAACTCATTAAGACAATAAGCACAACCTAGACCAACCAACCATAGACCAACTGCTAGACCATGCGCAGACCATATTCTTCCATCCTTAAAAAAAGCAAAAGTAGATATTACATGTGCTTTAGATTTTGCACATATCATCATATCATTAAAATAGAACCCAAAATGTGTATAATTTTAAACTTTGCTACATCATACTCACATCAATTTTATTTTTTAGGCTTAGTGCTATAAAAATAGCAATGGAGTGGAGGATTATACTACCCATCCTTTGTCTGATTGGTAAGAAACTACATTTGTTTCTGCATTACATCTGCCAAACAGAGGACTGCTTGTAATATAAATCACACTGATTGTTAACATTAAAATCATTAAAAAGATAGAAAGGTTAGAGAATAAAAAGTGGCATATATTCTAATGACATGTTTTAAAAAGTGATTTTAACAACAATTCAGCCGAATAAATACCACTTAATGCTAAACTGCAGTTCTTTATTTTCTGTTGACCTTCAGTTTTTGGTTTGTTTTTATGTTCATCACTGATAATTACTGTGTTTTATTTTCCCTAATTTCATCTAAAAGGGATCCTACATCTGCCTGGAAATGTTGTTTCTCAAGGTAATGGCCAGTTTGTGTTTAAAGATCTTAATTAATGTAATGTGATAGCTAATATTGTCAATAAATTAGGCCACTAGGTCACAATAATTATAAGACACATTTGTTGAACTGAATCACATGTATCCTCAGGTACACTTGCACCTTCAATTGTTACTACAACAACTACACCTACAACTGTGACTACAGAAACTACAGCTTCAAATTTAACTTTTGTAATTCCACCTACTACTGCGACTTCGGAAACTACACCTTCAAATCTGACTTCAGAAACTACATCTTCAAATGCGACTTCGGAAACTACACCTTCAAATGTGACTTCGGAAACTACACCTTCAAATGTGACTTCGGAAACTACACCTTCAAATGCGACTTCGGAAACTACACCTTCAAATGTGACTTCGGAAACTACACCTTCAAATGTGACTTCGGAAATTAAACCTTCAAATGTGACTTCGGAAATTAAACCTTCAAATGTGACTTCGGAAACTACACCTTCAAATGTGACTTCGGAAACTACACCTTCAAATGTGACTTCGGAAACTACACCTTCAAATGTGACTTTGGAAACTACACCTTCAAATGTGACTTCGGAAACTACACCTTCAAATGTGGCTTCAGAAACTACACCTTCAAATGTGACTTCGGAAACTACACCTTCAAATGTGACTTCGGAAACTACACCTTCAAATGTGACTTCGGAAACTACACCTTCAAATATGACTTCGGAAACTACACCTTCAAATGTGACTTCAGTAAATACACCTACAACTGCGACTTCAGCTACTATACCTACAACTGCAACTTCAGCAACTATACTTACAACTGCGACTTCGGAAACTACACCTTCAAATGCCACTTCGGAAACTACACCTTCAAAAGTGACTTCAGCAACTACACCTTCAAATATGACTTTGGAAACTACACATTTAAATGTGACTTCGGAAACTATAAATTCAAATGTGACTTCGGAAACTACACCTTTAAATGTGACTTCAGTAAATACACCTACAACTGCGACTTTAGCTACTATACCTACAACTGCAACTTCAGCAACTATACCTACAATTGCAACTTCGAAAACTACACCTTTAAATGTGACTTCAGTAACTACAGCTATAACTGTGACTTTAGAAACTACACCCTCAAATGGGACTTCAGTAACTAAACCTACAACTGCGACTTCAACAGCTTCACCTACAGCTGCGACTTTGGAAACTACGCCTTCAACTGCGACTTCAGCAACTACATCTACAACTGCAATTTTAGCGACTACAACTGCGACTTCAGCAACTACATCTACAACTGCAATTTCAGCAACTACACCTTCAACTGCAACTTCAGCAACTACATCTACAACTGCAATTTCAGCAACTACACCTTCAACTGTGCCTTCAGCAACTACATCTGCAATTGCGATTTTAGCAACTACACATTCAACTGAGATTTCAGCAACTACACCTTCAACTTCGACTTCAGCAACTACATCTACAACTGCGATTTCTGCAACTACACCTTCAATTGATACTTCATCAACTACACCTTCAACTGCAACTTCAGCAACTACACCTTCAACTGCGACTTCAGCAACTACACCTTCAACTGCGACTTCAGCAACTACACCTTCAACTGCGACTTCAGCAACTACACCTTCAACTGCGACTTCAGCAACTACACCTTCAACTGCGACTTCAGCAACTACACCTTCAACCGCGACTTCAGCAACTGCACCTTTAACTGTGACTTCAGCAACTACACATTCATCTGCAACTTCAGCAACTACATCTACAACTGAGACTTCAGCAACTACACCTTCTTTTGAAACTTCAGCAACTACACCTTCAACTGCGACTTCAGCAACTGCACCTTTAACTGTGACTTCAGCAACTACACATTCATCTGCAACTTCAGCAACTACACCTTCATTTGTGACTTCAGCAACTACATCTACAACTGAGACTTCAGCAAATACACCTTCATTTGCAACTTCAGTAACTACACCTTTAACTGAGTCTTCAGCAATTACACATTCAACTATGACTTTGGCAACTACACCTTCAACTGTGACTAGAGCAACTACACCTTCAACTGTGACTAGAACACCTACACCTTCAAATGCAACCACAGTAATTACACCTTCAACTGTGACTAGAGCAACTACACCTTCAACTGCAACTACAGTAACTACACCTTCAACTGTGACTAAAGCAACTACAACTTCAACTGCAACTACTACAGTAACTACACCTTCAAGTACAACTAGGTCAAATTCAGCTTCAACTGTGACTGGATCAGCTTCATCTTCAACCGGAGGGAAGTCTACAGCTGGAACATATCAAACTACAACAACACCACCACCTGCCAATCTTGGAGTTATTTCTTTAAGTTTCAAGCTTACTGACACATTCCAGGCAGTCTACACTGACCTCAATAATGCAGTGACCAAAGCGTATGTAGAAAATATTAAATCTCAGGTAATTTCTTTCTTCAACAAAGCATTGTTTTTGATCATGATTGCAAGATACATGTAATGTTGTGTACTGAAAACATTAAATATAGATACAAGTCCTGAATATTTAGCAAACTACTCATTTAACAAAATTTCCTACATTAAATGTTTTTCTGAAAAAAATATGACAATAGTGAAATGATGCTTCTATGATTTTATGTCTATCTGTTACAGTTTTATCCAGTTTACAAGAAACGTTATCCAAACTACTTTGGGATGATTATTAATAAGTTGAGGTATTTTAGTTTCAGCTTTTAGTAATTAGCAAACACCCTGCTTTAATTTCATTAAAATAAATATATACATGCCTGAGATTTCTATTTTACATATTTTTTATTGGATTGTTTGTCTTCATTGATTTTTTGGTTGTTTATTCATTTATATTAATGGTTTTCAACATGGTTTTGCCCCCACAGTGCTGGCTCTGTTGCGGCAGATTCCACCCTTCAATTTGATACCACCAGTTCCACTACTCCTAATGCAACAGATGCAAAAAACACACTCATTCAAGCAATTAACAGTGGAGGCATCAACTTAACAATTGATAATACATCTATCACTGCTGTGCAAGTCTCAAGCAACGGTCAGTTATTATGTTTTTATTTTGTCCTGTTTTTTGTTACATTGTAATGGAAAGGCATAAGCAACATTCTTATTAGATGACACACATGCACATGTTGGAGGCTCAAAATAGTGTCTTTGTGCTTGAGACTAATTATAAGCATGGTATGTCTACTAGTAATGCTGTACTGTGACCCATTTTTTCTTAAATCTGCTTTTAACAGGAACGAGCACAGCGGCTTCATCAACTGCTATAACTCAAACTACAACAGTAGCCACAACGGTCTTAGTCCTAGCCAACTATAATATCACCTTCAAAATATTAGGCGTCTTTATCAGTGATCTGGCGAACCTCAGCTCTAATGCAGCTGGTAATCTGGCACTGGTGGTCAATAGTCAGGTAATACATTGGACTTAAGAAATATTTGCATGTCAGTCTAGCTAAACATTGCCTTGTTGATCAATATAATATTAAAATATCAATTAACCTGTTTGTTCATTTGTTATAGCTGTCTGGGTTTTTCAGCAATTTCAGAGGCTTCTATCAGACAAACGTTTGGCGGTTCAGGTAAAATTTTATGATGCAGTTCTAAAAAGCGGCATCATTACAGAATATTTTTTTATGTTTTATAGCAGGTCTAGTTCATTACAACTAGTCTTTCATTCATTGTTCTCAGGAATGGCTCCATTGTAGCAGATGCTTGGCTTGCATTTATCAAAAACATCAATGCTCCTAAAGCAACAGAGCTGGCTGAACAATTTGCTGCTGCTGTTAGAAACCAAACATTCTTATTGCCAATTGATCCTACAACTATCAAAGTCACAGACTTCACAGGATTCACTGGTCAGTATATATTTGTATTACAACCCCAAATCAGAAAAAAAAATGGGACAGTATGGAAAACGCAAATAAAAAAAAAAGAAAAGTAGTGATTTCTAAATTTACTTGGACTTACATTGCAGACAATACAACAAACATTTCAACATATTTAAAAAAAATAAATAAAAATTGGAACAGTAAAGCATTTACCACTTTGTAATATTGCCATTCCTTTTCACAACACTTAAAAGACATTTAAGCACTGAAGACACCAAGAGACGAAGTGTTTCAGGTGTAGTTTTGTTTCATTCTTCCTGCAAACAAGTCTTAAGGTTGGCAACAGTACGGGGTCCTCATTGTTTAAAACGCACCACACATTTTCTATTAGAGACAGGTCAGGACTGCAGGCAGGCCAGTCAATACCTATATCCTTTTCCTCTGCAGTCAGGACTTTGAGGAGCCCACTCTTCAGTTTGCGCGCGACCCCCCCCCCTCCCCCCTCTTCAGTTCGCGCACGACAACAAATCCCGCAGCCCGCCCACTCTTTATTTCACGCGCCAAAAATACCTGAAATATTAATTCATCTGACCACAGTACACATTTCCACTGTGTGATGGTCCATCCCAAATGCCTCTTAACCCAGAGAAGTCAACAATGCTTCTGGACACTGTTAACATAGTGTTTCCTTTTGTCAAAGTACAGTTTTCACTGGCATTTGTGGATGTAACTCCGTATTGTGGTACTTGACAAAGGTTTGCTAAAGTAGTCCTGAACCTATGTGGTGATATCACTTATAGATAAATAACGATTCTTAATGCAGTGCTGCCTGAGGAATCAGAGATCACAGTTGTTCAACTTGCATCCTCCAGATTTCTTGATTTTAATGATGTTATACACTGTTGAAGGTGACATTTCCAACTGTTTTCCTATCTGTCTTTAAGTAACATTGTTTTTAAACATTTCAATATTTTCCAACATAATTGTTGGCATACTGGTACTCCTTGGCCCATCTTTGCTCCTAAAGGTCTAGACCCTTCTTGGATGCTGTTTTTGTCCCAAATTATAATTACAATCCCCTGTTGATATCACCTGTTTCAAAACACATCATTATTTAACCAATTACCTGATTACTAGCCCTAAATTGCCCCGTCCCAACTTTTTTTGGATTGTGTAGGATGTCTGAATGACTGGAAAAACATGTATATTTACAGATGAAATGAAGTTGACCAGGCAAAACATGAAATATTTAGTGTTCCTATGGTCTGCATTAAAATACAATCACTACTTTTCATTAGCATTTTCCATACTGCCCCAACCTTTTCTGTTTTGAGGTTGTATCATGTTTTCATGTAATGGATTCCTCTCTAAAACATCTCTCTGTCAGGCTAAGTTGCTCTTACAATACTTCATAATTAAGAAAAGGTAACATTTTTTTATAGAGGTTCTCAAAATAATGTTAAATGATAGGTTTTCAGTTTGAAAAAGAAAATAATCCATAATATCCACAGGTTTTCAAACACTGACCTTAATAAATGGATCCACAACTAACATGCATTTTTTTTTCTTTTTTATATTTACAGCCAACAAGTCTCCGGTGCTGGCTAGTATGCTAACAGCATTGTGGATGACCTTAGCATCCCTTCTGTTTTCAGCTGTGATGCACTAAGCTTCACATTCACTTCAGCAAAAACACGACATCATGCTACTACACAATAATCATGGCTGTGGTCACACTCAGAATCAGAAAATCAAGGTGTAAACAAGTGAAAATATGATCTAGCTTTATCATTTACTAGTCTTTCTTTCGCATTTAGAGCCCGGTGATACATATGGTTGTGTGTGTTATGGTAATTTGGTCTCTGCTTTATAAAAAGTACATTGTTACTCAATGCACATTGAGGAATAATGAGGATTGGTTTATTGAAACCAAATCTGAACAATCCTCTATGCCACAGAAATGGCACAAGTGAAATTTAAACAACTATTGTTGTATTGCTCTCTCTTTAACAATGTATTTGTTAGAACATCTTTTTTTGTAATCAAAGTACACTGTAAAAAATATCTGTTAATTAACAGTTTCTGTATTTTGTGTTTTACATTTATTTACGGTAGTGAATTGCTTTATGGGACCTTGATCTTTGCTTTATTGACTTCTGATGTTGAAAGTTCATCTTTAGTTTAAACAAAGTGACTTTTATTGACATTTAGCTTAAAATAGTATAATGTATAAGAAATAATATATAAAGAAACAAATATGTGTAATAACAATAAAATATACTGGCAGGTTATTACAAGGTTTCAGTACCGTAATCTGCAACACCAACCCAGACAATATAGTTTATTACTGTAAACTATTAGAAATGTTTATAAAAGTCACTTTTTTCATTATTTTAAAGTTAAAAGTTGTCAGAAGATCACGATCTCATATTCAAAAGTATAAATAGGAAAAATAAAAACATGAATCACACAATATGAAAAACTGCTAATTTAGGGGTATTTTTACAGTGTACACATGTGAAATTATGCATTTAATCCGAATAACATATTAAGAAATATTCTGATTATTTATCTGTATATTGTTTAATGAAGTACTGATTTCCTTTTGTCTGCAATTTTCTCAAATAAAAACTATATCTAGATTAATCAAATTGTTGGTTTGTGAAAACTCCTACATTTATGATTGACAGAATGTGACATGTCCAAATTCCGTACTCACCTTCATAGTATCACATACTTTTAAAATAATCATGAACTAAGTTAAAATGTAGTACCTACTTAAGTAATATGGGGTTTTGGATGTAGCTTCTGAGTTGGTGGCCATCTTGGAAAGATGCTCTTGACCAGTGGTGCTCAACCCTGTTCCTGGAGATCGACCTTCCTGCAAAGTTCAGCTCCAACCCTGATCAAACACACCTGAATCAATTAATTAGGATCTGAACAGCACTTGATAATTACAGCCAGGTGTGTTTGAGATGGGTTATAACTGAAATCTGCAGGAAGGTCGATCTCCAGGAACAGGGTTGGTCACATCTGCTTTAGACTGATGGCCATGTTGGGAAGAGACTCTGAGCTGGCGGCCATCTTGGAAAGATGCTCAGGGATGGTGGCCCTCTTGGCAAGAAACTGGCAGACATTTTTTGAAAGAGACTCTGGAGTGGCAGCCATTACAGTACAAGAAAGTACTGATGTGGAGGGTTTTCACTACTGCGAGGGTTCTGTGTTCCTCTTCAGAGCTTACAGTAAATGCAAAAACACAGTGTCGCTGCAGTGCACATTCAGAGTCCAGTCAGGGTGACACTATTGCTCTGATTTTTAGCATCAATTATTCAATAAATTTACTTTTTAAATGTTAGACTACTTTTTATTTGTATTATTTTCTGTACTAAATTGAACACTTTATGCACAGGTTAATAAATGTACCGTTATGCAACCACCCTTACAGTACAATCTTTTGTAGGCTTTTTTGAGATCATATTGCATCCAGGCACCAGGGGGCCATCAAAACAATAATGTATTATCCATAAGATGGCTGTTTTATGTTAGGTACAATGAAAATATTTATTTCACCTACATTACAATGTCAATTGTAATTGTAAGTGAAGTGGGGGGGGGGATAGATACTGTATTATACGTGCATGTTAAAAGTGATTTTACAATCCTCCATGTCTGCTAATCAATGATATTTCTAGATTTGAAGATCTTTAAAGAAGATATTTATATAGAATGTTAATATAAGTAAACACAATTAATCAGATGACAATTAAAACAAGAAAACTGTCACAAAGTGTTAACTTTAATAACAAAAAACACAGACAGTACTCAATATAGAGTAATATTAAATATGAACTAAATGACATTAACAAAATATAACAATTAAATAAGAATAAAATAATAAAGTGAATATATAATTCATACATACATATACAGTTGAAGTCAGAATTATTAGCCCCTCTTTTAATTTATTGTTCCTTTTTAAATATTTCCCAGATGATGTTCAACAGAGGAATACATTTTGCACAGTATGTCTGATAAAATTTTTCCTTCTGGGGAAAGTCTGATTTTTTGTATTTCAGCTAGAATAAAAGCAGCTTTTATTAAAAAAAAAATAAATAAATAAAATAAATAATAATTTAGGGTCAAAATTATTAGCCCTTTAAGCTAAGTTTTTCTTGATAGTCAATAAGACAAACCATCGTTATGCAATAATTTGCCTAATTACCTTATCCTGTCTGATTAACCTAATTAACCCAGTTAAGCCTTTAAATGTCACTTTAAGCAGTTTAGAAGAGTCTTGAAAAATATCTAATAAAATATAATGTACTGTCACTATAGCAAATATAAAATAAATCAGTTATCATTTATATTAAAATAAAAATTGTATTTAATTAAATGCTTTAAATGCACTTTTTCCTTGTCACGAGCACCACATAAGGAAAAAATGGCTTAACTTACCCCACTTTCCCCTACTATCTTTTGCTTCCTGCATAGTTACTTGTTAACAATGGATCATTATTCAAAAGTGTTGTTTATATTGGTGTTGCTTAGTACTTAGTGTAGTAATAGTTCATTATTCAATACACCAGGAATGTATCAAACATATTATTCATTGCATACTTTTAATGAACTTAACACTAAATCTGTGCCTATAACCTTCAGAAAACTCCAAATAAAGTTTGAAAATAATTATTATGGTTAATGTCGGGAGTCTGTAGAGATTCTCAGTTTTTCAGTTCATACCAAAATGTCTACAAAAATGTAGAAATGCAACAAGTCCCACTGATTTTAGGAATGTTTTTAGACAGTTATTACAATAAACATTTTGTAAACATGTTGTATGTTAAATTTGCCATTTATTAATTAGGGCAAATTTGCCCTAATATGCCTAGCTGTCAATGTAACATGAACGGTCATCACGTACCAGGAAACAAAGCTATTTTTTAATACTGTTGCTCCCCAAGTTTTTCAAGAACCATCAACCCCACAGCTGAACTCTGATTGGTCTGTTCTTAACAAAACAAAACCTTTCAGACTTTAAATATGGGCACACCTGTCTTCTGTGCTCATTTAGAGGTGACCACAGACTGGTAACAGGACTTTAATTGCTATAAGGATTAATCTGGACTGCATTTTTTCCTTGGTGGAACAATCCAAAAGTGAGTAGAAGAATTATTTTTGGCATTTTTTATGAAATAATTTTGTTGAATTGTATAATAAATTATGTAAACAGTGAATCTAAGTTTAACAAAACAAATATTTGTAATATCATGTAATAATAAGTATTTATTTAGTTCTCAAACTGGGGTACCAGTAGTATGCAAGATTCCTTCTAGTAGTACACAGAGGAATCTCTTAATAATGAAACATGAAATAATGAAACATGGAATCAAGAAAGTTCACTTATTGATGCATTCGATAACACCGATATGATCAGGATTGTTTGCTTCCTGAAGCGCTTGATCACACCGGTGTGATTAAAATGTTTAGTGCATCCCGTCATCAGATGCTAAAAATCAATCTGCTTGGTGCAAAACCTGCGCAAGGAAGCGAGATGCTTGTGGAAAAAAAAGGCACAAAAAATATGTAATTAGGGGTTTCAGGGCTTTTGCAGACCATTGCTGTTGTGTGGGTAGTTCATGTACTGCAATCTCAGAAATTTCCCCATGCTGCATATTATTGGTAAAATAATTACAAATTATTTTACAAATCTGTTAAAATATGTGTTTATGGTAAAAAAAAAAAAAATCCTGTTTTCAATTTATATAAAGGTATTTGTTTTGTAAATAGCAGTGTGGCTTTGATTTAGTTTGTTACCTCCGATTAGATTTAGGCCAACTAATCTGGATGTGATTCAAATGACACAGGACAACTTTGCCATGCTTGAGGCTTGGAACTACAATATAATTAACGTTTAGTCTTCATGTGCAAAGAACGGAGCACCTAAAAACCTTACTCAATGGTTGATGCATACTCCACAGTTCATTTAAGATGAGATCTCATTTGCCCCAAGTACTGATTGATAAATCACGTATGAATTGATCAAGCAGTGTATTTATGCATTTTATCACTTGATTTTCTGACACATATTGTAAATGGCATGCGGTAAGCAGATCTAATTTCTAATTTAAATATGCATTTCCAAATCCTATATTTAAAATACAAGTTAAGGTTTAGATTTCAAAGATATACAATTTTTTTTTCTGTTTATTCATGACAATTTGCATTTGTATAATGTTATTATTATTAGTTTTATTAGTAGTTATTAAATGCATATTTATTTTTGTTTTAATAAAAACAAGTTTAGATTTGTCCACCTGTTGGGGTTTGGAGACCAATGCATCACCATATGGGGCATAAGAATAGGAAGTGTGTTTGGATATAACGGTTTTTTGACCACACTTCGTTGTGAAACAAATCTATTAAACTAAATTAAACATGTAGACTAATGGATGTCTTCAGTGGACGCAGTTTTGACTGTTTCAATTGAAATATGTTGGATAATGGATGTCTTTAATAGAGTGTGTAAAACACCGTTTTCTTATCCACGAATGTAAAAGAGTAAAGTGAAGAGTCAAAGTAAAGTAAAGAGAAAGTAAGAAGGTCAATGGAGGAGGCTTGTTCTTTATTCTCGTGAAGATGGTCAAACTGTTTTCTTGCTAGTAAAGTGTTTGGTTTTTCCACTTATAAAGTCTGCATGTAAATAGCAAATGCTCCATGGTGCGACACAACTGACTCTTAAAGGGAATGGGAGATGAGACTCTAGTTGGTTAAATGCATGTTTTGCTCAAGACGCACTCATAACTCATTAAGACAATAAGCACAAACCTGCTAGACCATGCGCAGACCATGTTCTTCCATCCTTAAAAAAGGCAATAGTAGATTTCACATGTGCTTTAGACTTTGCACATAATCATATCATTAAAATAGAGCCCAAAATGTGTATAATTTTAAACTTTGCTACATCATACTCACATCAATTTTCATTTATAGGCTCAGTGCTATAAAAAATAGCAATGGAGTGGAGGATAATACTATTCATCCTTTGTCTGATTGGTAAGAAACTGCATTTGTTTCTGCATTACATTTGCATCACAGAAGACTGAATGTAACGTAAATCACACCGACTGTTAACATTAAAATCATTAAAAAGATTGAAAGGTTAGAGAATAGAGAGTGGCATATCCTGTAATGACATGTTTTAAAAAGTGATTTTAACAACAATTCAGCTGAATAAAGTCCACTTAATGCTAAACTGCAATTTCTAATCTTCTGTTCATCTTCTTCAGTTTTGGGTTTGTTTAATGTTCATCACTGATAATTACTGTGTTTTATTTTCCCTAATTTTACCTAACAGGGATCCTACATCTGCCTGGAAATGTTGTTTCTCAAGGTACAGGCCAGTTTGTGTTTTAAGATTTAATTTAATGTGATAGCTAATATTGTCAATAAATTAGGCCACTAGGTCACAATAATTATAAAACACATTTGTTGAACTAAATCACATGTATCCTTAGAAACTGCACCTACAACTGTGACTACAACAACTACACCTACAATTGTGACTACAGCAGCTACACCTACAACTGTGACTACAGAAAATACAGCTTCAAATGTCACTTCAGTAACCACATCTTCAACTGCGACTGTAGAAACTACACCTTCAAATGCAACTTTGGAAACACCTTTACATGTAACTTCAGCAACTACACCTACAACTGCAACTTCGGAAACTACACCTACAAATGTGATTTCAACAACTACACGTACAACTGCGACTTCGGAAACTACACCTTCAAATGTGACTTCAGTAACTAAACCTACAACTGTAACTTCGAAGACTACACCTTTAAATGTGGCTTCAGCAACTACACCTTCAACTGCAACTTCAGCAACTACATCTACAACGGTGACTTCAGAAACTACACTTTCAATTGAGATTTCAGCAACTACACCTTCAACTGTAACTTCAGCAACTACACCTTTAACTGAGACTTCAGCAACTACACCTTTAACTGTGACTTCAGCAACTACACCTTCAACTGTGACATCAGCAACTACACCTTCAATCGTGCCTTCAGCAACTACACCTTCAACTGGGACTTCAGCAACTACACCTTCAACTGTGACATCAGCAACTACACCTTCAATCGTGCCTTCAGCAACTACACCTTCAACTGGGACTTCAGCAACTACACCTTCAACTTCGACATCAGCAACTACACCTTTAACTGTGACTTCAGCAACTACACCTTCAACTGCGACATCAGCAACTACATCTTTAACTGCAACATTAGCAACTACACCTTCAACTGCGACATCAGCAACTACACCTTCAACTGCGACATCAGCAACTACACCTTCAACTGCAACATCAGCAACTACACCTTCAACTGCGACATCAGCAACTACACCTTCAACTGCGACATCAACAACTACACCTTTAACTGCGACATCAGCAACTACACCTTCAACTGCGACATCAGCAACTACACCTTCAACTGCGACATCAGCAACTACACCTTTAACTGGGACTTCAGCAACTACACCTTCATTTGCAACTTCAGTAACTATACCTACAACTGAGACTTCAGCAACCACACATTCAACTATGACTTTGGCAACTTCTGTATCAACTGTGACCTCAGTAACTACACTTTCAACTGTGACTGGAGCAACTCCAGTTTCAACTGCAAATTCAATAACTACACCTTCAACTGCAACTACAGTAACTACACCTTTAACTGTGACAAGAGAAACTACACCTTCAACTGTGACTAGTGTAACTACACCTTCAAATACAACTAGATCAAATTCAGCTTCAACTGTGACTGGATCAGCTTCATCTTCAACTGGAGGGAATTCTGCAACAGGAACATATCAAACTACAACAGCCCCACCACCTGCCAATCTTGGAGTTATTTCTTTAAGTTTCAAGCTTAATGACACATTCCAGGCAGTCTACACTGACCTCAATAATGCAGTGACCAAAGCGTATGTAGAAAATATTAAATCTCAGGTAATTTCTTTCTTCAACAAAGCTTTGTTTTTGATCATGATTGCAAAAGATACATGTAATGTTGTGTACTGAAAACATTAAATATAGATACAACTCCTGAATATTTAGCAAACTACTCATTTAACAAAATTTCCTACAATAAATGTTGTTCTGAAAAAAAAATATGATAATAGTCAAATGATGCTTCTATGATTTTATGTCTATCTGTTACAGTTTTATCCAGTTTACAAGAAACGTTATCCAAACTACTTTGGGATGATTATTAATAAGTTGAGGTAAAACTGTTCTTCCAGCTTTTAGTAATTAGCAAACACCCTGCTTTAATTTCATTAAAATAAATATATACATGCCTGAGATTTCTATTTTATATATTTTTATTGGATTGTTTGTCTTTATTGATTATTTGGTTGTTAATTGGTTTATATTAATGGTTTTCAACATGGTTTTGCCCCCACAGTGCGGGCTCTGTTGCGGCAGATTCCACCCTTCAATTTGATACCACCAGTTCCACGACTCCTAGTGCAACAGATGCAAAAAACACGCTCATTCAAGCAATTAACAGTGGAGGCATCAACCTAACAATTGATAATACATCTATCACTGCTGTGCAAGTCTCAAGCAACGGTCAGTTATTATGTTTTTATTTTGTCCTTTTTTTATTACATTGTAATGGAAAGGCATAAACAACATTCTTATTAGATGACACACATGCACATGTTGGAGGCTCAAAATAGTGTCTTTGTGCTTGAGACTAATTATAAGCATGGTACGTCTACTAGTAATGCTGTACTGTGACCCATTTTTTCTTAAATCTGCTTTTAACAGGAACGAGCACAGCGGCTTCATCAACTGCTATGACTCAAACTACGACAGTAGCCACAACAGCCTTAGTCCTAGCCAACTATAATATCACCTTCAAAATATTACGCGTCTTTATCAGTGATCTGGCGAACCTCAGCTCTAATGCAGCTGGTAATCTGGCACCGGTGGTCAATAGTCAGGTAATACATTGGACATAAGATAAATTTGCATGTCAGTCTAGTTAAACATTGCCTTGTTGATCAATATAATATTAAAATATCAATTAACCTGTTTGTTCATTTGTTATAGCTGACTGGGTTTTTCAGCAATTTCAGAGGCTTCTATCAGACAAACGTTTGGCGGTTCAGGTAAAATTTTATGATGCAATTCTAAAAAGCGGCATCATTACAGAATATTTTTTATGTTTTACATAGCAGCTCTAGTTCATTACAACTCGTCTTTCATGCATTTTTCTCAGGAATGGCTCCATTGTAGTAGATGCTTGGCTTGCATTTATCAAAAACATCAATGCTCCTAAAGCAACAGAGCTGGCTGAACAATTTGCTGCTGCTGTCAGAAACCAAACAATCTTATTGCCAATTGATCCTACAACGATCAAAGTCACAGACTTCACAGGATTCACTGGTCAGTATACATTTGTATTACAAACCCCAAATCAATAAAAATTGGAATGGTACGGAAAACGCAAATAAAAAAAGGAAGTAGTGATTTCTAAATTTACTTGGACTTGTATTATATTGCAGACAATACAACAAACATTGCAACATATTTCAAAAAATGTTGGAACAGTAAAGCATTTACCACTTTGTAATATTGCCATTCCTTTTCACAACACTTAGGGTGCTTTCACACCTGTGAATCGATTCAGTTGTTCCGAAACAGAGATTACAATTGTTACATTGTTGCTCTTTGCTCTTAGAGCGGTTCGCTTTCACACTGCTAAGTTTCTAATCGGACCAGAAGAGCTAAAACAAGTCATGTGCGAGTAAACTCTCCTCACATTGGTCAGAGTGTCAGGGTTTATTTTGCAGAGTCCCGCTCAGATGTCAGGAGAGGTGGTGATTTGGTGGTGATTGACAAGGTGCGCGCGACGTGTCTCGTTTGCAGGCATCCGGAGACTCGCAAAACTTCCCGCCCTACTCATAATTCTCTCGTCATATAGCCGTATGCCTATTACATACCCATAAAACACAGTGATATAACCGCGCTCGGATCGTTTGCTTTCTCACTGCAATCGATCCGCTCCAGAGTTTGTTTCAATCGAGCCGAGACCACCTCATTCAAGCGATTGAGGAGCGATTGATTTGGCGTGGATCAGAGAGCAATTGGTGGTTTCACATATGCCAAATGAACCGCGCTAACTGGGCAAACGAGACAGGTTCCGAAACAAAAGTGTAGGTGTGAAAGCACCCTTAAAAGACAATTAGGGACTGAAGACACCAAGTGATAAAATTTTTCATGTGTAATTTTGTCCCAGTCTTCCTGCAAACAAGTTTTAAGGTGGGCAACAGTACAGGGTCTTCATTGTTGCCTTTTATGCTTCAAAATGCACCACACATTCTCTATTGGAGACAGGCCGGGGCTGCAGACAGGCCACTCAAGTACCTGTATCTTCTTTCTCTATAGATAGGACTTTTATTGTGTGCAGAATGTGGTTTTGCATTGTCTTGTTGAAATATGCATGTACATGCCTGGAAAAGAAGGCAGCATATTGTGCTCCAAAATCTCTATGTCCTTTCTACATTAATGATGCCATCACAAAAGTGCAAGTTAGCTTTGCCAAAGGCACTGACACAACCCCATACCATGAGAGACCCCGGGTTTTGGTCTTGTTGCTGGTAACAGTCTGGACGATCCTCTTCTTTAGAGAAGTCAACGGTGCTTCTGTTAACATAGGGCTTCCTTTTGTCAAAGTACAGTTTTCTCTGGCATTTGTGGACGTAACTCCATTTCGTAGTAATTGACAAAAGTTTGCTAAAGTAGTCCTGAACCCATGTGGTGATATTGCTTATAGATAAATGACGATTCTTGATGCAGTGCCATCTGAGAGATCAGAGATCGCAGTTGTTCACCTTGCGTTCATGTGTTTTACACACTGAAATTCCTTCAGATTTCTTGATTTTATTTATGTTATGCACTGTTGAAGGTTTAAATATCCAACTGTCTTCCTATCTTTCTTTGAGGAACATTGTTTTAAACATTTCAATAATTTTTCCTTGGCCCATCTTTGCTCCTAAAGGTCTAGACCCTTCTTGGATGCTGTTTTTGAACCAAATTATAATTACAAGCACCTGTTGACATCACCTGTTTCAAAACACATCATTATTTAACCAATTACCTGATTACTACCCCTAAATTGCCCCGTCCCAACTTTTTTTGTATGTGTAGCAGGTCTGAATGACTGGAAAAACATTTACAAATGAAATGAAGTTGACCAGGTAAAACATAATATACTTGTGTTCCTATGCTCTGCAATGAAATACAAGTCTAAGTAAATTTGGAATGACTATTTTCTTTTTTATTAGCATTTTCCATACTGCCCCAACCTTTTCTGTTTTGAGGTTGTATCATGTTTTCATGTAATGAATTCCTCTATAAAACATATTTCTGTCAGGCTTAGTTGCTCTTATAATATGATTAAGGAAAAGTAACATATTTTATAGAGGTCGTCAAAAATAATGTTGTGCTTTCAGTTTGAAAAAGAAAGTAATGAATAATATCCACAGGTTTTCAAAGACTGACCTTAATACATGGATCCACAACTAACATGCATTTTTTTTTCATTTTTATATTTACAGCCAACAAGTCTCAGGTGCTGGCTAGTATGCTAACAGCATTGTGGATGACCTTAGCATCCCTTCTGTTTTCAGCTGTGATACACTAAGCTTCACATTCACTTCAGCAAAAACACAACATAATGCTACTACACAACAATCATGGCTGTGGTCACACTCAGAAAATCAAGATGCAAACAAGTGAAAATATGATCTAACTTTATCACTTATGGTCTTTCTTGTCACATTTAGTGCCTGGTGGTACATATGGTTTGTGTGTGTTATGGTAAGTTGGTCTCACAATGCACATTGAGGATAAATGAGGATTGGTTTATTAAAACCGAATCTGAAGAGACCTCTAGTCCACAGAAATGGCACAAGTGAAATTTATCTAAACAACTAATGTTGTGTTGATCTTTCTTTACCAATATATTAGTTAGAACATCTTTTTTTTGTAATCAAAGTACACTGTAAAAAAATATAAATCTGTTTCTGTATTTTGTGTTTTACATTTATTTACGGTAGTGAATAGCATTCTGGGACCTTGATCTCTGCTTTATTGACTTCTGATGTTGAAAATTCATCATTACAGCTTAAAAAAAGTGACTTTTATTGACATTTAAGTTGCTTAAAATAATATAATGTGTAAGAAAAAAATATATAAAGAAAGAAATATGTGAAAAAAACAAAAAAATTACAGGCAGCTTATTACAAGGTTTCTGTACCATAATATACAACACCAACCCAGACGATATATTACTGTAAACTATAATAAATGTTTATAAAAGTCACTTTTTCCAATATTTTAAAGTTAAAAGTTGCCAGAAGAAAGATCGAGATCTCATAGTACTATTCAAAAGTATGAATAGGGAAAATAAAAACATGAATCACACAATATGGAAAACTGCTATATTAGGGGTATTTTTACAGTGTACACATGTGAAATTATGCATTTAATCCGAATAACATAAATTAAGAAATGTTCTCATTATTGATCTGTATATTGTTTAATAAAGTACTGATTTTCATCTGTCTGCAATTTTTTCCTAAATAAAAACTATATCTAGATTAATCAAATTGTTGGTTTGTGACAACTCATAAATGTATGATTGACAACATAGACTACACAGAATGTAACATGTCCAAATTCCGTACTCACTTTCATAGTTTAACATACTTTTAAAATAATCCTGAACTAAGCTAAAATGAAAATGTACCTTCTTGAATAATAATTGGGGTTTTGAATGTAGCTTCTTAGTTGGTGGCCATCTTGGTAAGATGCTCTAGACTGATGGCCATGTTGTGAAGAAACTAAAGCTTGTCCCAAATCGCATACTTATGCACTATTCTACGCCATTTTGTAGTATAAATAGTGTAAGTAGTGTGTGAAAGCTCAAAAAATATTAAGTGCACTTTAATTACCTGGATGATGCACTCATTCAGCCGGTAAAACGAAGTGTGTAATGTTGGGACACTTCACGCAATCAACGACCACAGGTTTGCTCACGTAGCGGAAGGGGCAGAGCTATCAGGCGCACATGTTGGATAACTGTTTATTTTGGAAGGTGAAAGCAATATTCTCCTACGAGAGTGATTATAGCGCCTCCCGATGGTGAATGCGGTTATACCCATGACAGGTATTATTTCATAGTTTGGTCATTTATTTCACTGATTTGGCGACCGTCAAACATCATCAGTAAAACGGGTTGAATTTCCGCTTAGTAAAAAAAAAACATTAGTGTTCCATTTGGGACGACAATACATACATATGCTGAGTGTGTACGTGCTTAAGTACATAGTGGATGAGTCCAAAGTGTATAGTGTGCCATTTGAGACTCAGGGATGGTGGCCCTCATGAGAAGAGACTCTGGAGCGGCAGCCATAACAAGCAAGTACTGATGTGGAGGGTTCTCACTACTGCAAGGGTTCAGTGTTCCTCTTCAGAGCTTACAGTAAATTCAAAAGCATGCAGTGTTGCTGCAGTGCACATTCAGAGTCCAGTCAGGGTGACACAATTGCAATTAGTTTGCTTTTTAAATGGTAGACTACTTTTTATTTGTATTATTTTCTGTACTAAGTTGAACACTTTATGCATAGGTTAATTAAGGTACCGTTATGCAACCACCCAAGATACAATCTTTTGTAGGCTTACTTAACTTTTGAGATTATATTGCATCCAGGCACCAGGGGGCGATCAAAATGATAATGTATTATCCATAGGCTGACTGGCTGTTTTATGTTACAATGAAAGTATTTTTTTTACCTACACTACAAGGTCAATTGTATTTGTAGGTGAAGTGGAGAAAAAATACTGTATTATATGTGCATGTTAGAGTGATTTTACAATCCTCCTTGTCTGCTAATCAATGATATTTCTAGATTCAAAGATATTTAAAGATGATATTTACATAGAATGTTAATGTAAGTAAACACAATTAATCGATTGACAATCAAAACAAGATACATGTCATAAAGTGTTAACTTTAATAACAACAACAAAAACACAGATAAAGTACTCAATATATAGAGTAATATTAAATATGAACCAAATGATTTTAACAAAATAAAAAATTAAATAAGGATAAAACAATAAAGTGAATATAATGTATACATACAGTTGAAGTCAGAATTATAAGCCCCTTGGATTTTTTTTTTTTTTTTTTAAATATTTCCTAAATGATGTTTAAAAATTAGGAAATTTTCACAGTATGTCTGATATTTGTTTTTCTGGAGAAAGTCTTATTTGTTTTATTTTGGCTAGAATAAAAGCAGATTTCAATTTTTAGGAACCATTTTAAGGACAATATTATCAGCCCCTTTAAGCTATATATATGTTTATTGGTTGTCTACAGAACAAACCATCATTATACAATAACTTGTCTAATTACCCTAACCTGCCACCAAATTAAGCCAGTTAAGCCTTTAAATGTCAATTCAAGCTGTACAGAAGTGTCTTGGAAAATATCTAGTCAAATATTATTTACTGTCATCATGGCAGAGATAAAATAAATCAGTTATTAGAAATGAGTTATTAAAAGTATTATGTTTAGAAATGTGTTGAAGAAATCTGCTCTCCGTTAAACAGAAACTGGGGGAAAAATAACCAGGGGGGCTAATAATTCTGACTTCAACTGTACATGTATGTGTATATGTAGACATACACTTAACCCCAGATTATTATTGTTCTAAACCCTGTCAGCTCAGGTAAAGTATAAGTGGACAGAGCCACTTTTTACCTATAAGGTTATGAAAACATGGTTCAGAGGTAGTTATGTACAGTAAGAAACAATCTGATTGATGCTTAGCAGCAGACAGGCAGTTATGTGCCTTATATTTACATTTACATACTTTTTACACAGTAACGGAAACACAGTGCAATTTATAAACAATTAAAATCAGCGTTGTTTATGAATACCCAAGTTCTAGTCAAAGCAGGATGCTCAGGGTTTTTAGTGACTTGCGCTTAACTGTCTTGAATGAGAAATGCGATGTATCATCATAATAATGAAGAGTTATGATAACTTGGGGTCTGCACTTGGTTAAATAATCTTTAATAAGATTATTAGTTGGGCCATAGTCCTGAACAACTCTTCTACGCAAGGTACAAACTAGCTTGAGCCTAAAATAAACTTGTACAATATTTGTAGAGTTGACTTCACTGTATAATTAGGAAAGCATCACTCTTGGTGCTAATAAAACAGTGATGACTGGGGACAGAAGCATTAGTGAACAGCGGATCCTCCATGGAGGGGCACCAGAGGTGGTGTTTGTGTTCCCTGAAAAGGTAGAAAGTGCAGAAACACGTCAAATTAATTATGCAATGATTTGTCGATAAATGCATTACATTGTAATAATGGTTAATTCTAAAAACTGCATTTAAGAAATTAAACCAAAAATATATATTCATAGCTAAACGTATAATTCATTGGAAAATACCGTTTGTCCTTGTGGGTTCTACAGTTACATTTGTGACAGGAGTAGTTGTAATAGGAGTTACTGTTTCTGTAAAATGAAAAGTACATTACACATGAAATGTCATTTTAAAGATTTTATCATTTACTTTGTGCTATACCTTAAAAAAAACACATAAATGACAAGTTTTCATATTTTGTGATTCATGCTTTTTTATTGCATCATGAGACCTTGATATTTCCTTCAACAACTTTTAATTATATAATAATTGACATTTGTAATACTTTGAACAACAAATATATTGTCTGTGCTGGTTTTGTAAATTATCATACAAAAACCTGATAGTAGACTGCCAGAATCTTTACTGATATTTTACCTACTTATTTTAGTATATTAGATTAGATTAGATTAGATTAGATTAGATTAGATTAGATTAGATTCAACTTTATTGTCGTTACATGTACAATTACAAGGCGACGAAATGCAGTTTAGGTCTAACCAGCAGTTAGTTATAAAGTATTTATAAAGTGTAGTTATAGAAAAACTATGGTGATATTTACAGATGGATGTACTATCAACATTATATACAGGTTGTATTAGGTATGAACAGAGATTTACAATAAATAAATATATGTACAGGTTGCTATTAATCAGAAGTGTGCAGATAGATAAACATAATTACAAATGTATATGGGTGTGTACATAATTGCATATTTTATTCCATATGAAGAATATTGTTTCAACCTAGTAAAACATCAATAAAAGCTACATTATTAAACAGCAGAGATGATTTTAGCAGAATAGAGATCAAGGCTCCATAATGCAATTCCTATCCAGAAATGAATGGAAAAACTCAATACGGAGTTTTGTGAATCACAAAATACAGAAACTGTTAATGACTGGGTGTTTTTTTTTTTTTACAGTATATTTCAGCTTTTCACACACCCACCTGCTTTGATAGTCGTGAGTATAATGTCCAGGCTTATGGCACCAGTCATCTTCCCACTATAAAGAACTGCTTCTACTGCAGCTGAGCTTTGGACCACAGAAGAATTTTCATAGACAAGAGTCATATCAACTACAGTGGAACCATTCCTAAAATAAAAACACAAGTCCATATATACAGAATCAGTGTAACTCCCAAAGTCCAGTGACTGTGCTCCATGTCGGAAAGAAATTTGAATGAAAGAAAGACGCAGTTTTAAAGCTTACGTGAAAGCATTGACTCTGCATCGCTTGTATCCTTGGACATCTATGAACATTTTGTTTATCTGCATGTGATGAAAAACATGATAACTTTACTAAAATACATAATTTGTCCTGCAATTTAAACACCAAATATTACCTCACATATTCCCTTTTTTTTATCTAAAAACCATATATATATATATATATATATATATATATATATATATATATATATATATATATATATATAAGCATATATAAGTACATCCCTTACAAATCTCTCTTTTAAATTTATGTTTTTAATAGGAAGCTATACAATATTATATTTGTGCATATACAGATTAGACAGTACTGAAGCCAAATCTTGAGCTTATCTCATAAAATAACTTATGATAACGGTCCAAAAACTAGTACACTCAAATATATATGTTAGAGAAAAAGAAATACAAATTCAAAAAAGGAAAAATTAAGAGAAGCAAAAAAATAAATCAATAAACATAAAAAAATAAAAATTTGAGTTGAAATTTTGTTGGTTGTAATTTTTGTATTTAATTTGTTTTTGCAATATTTTGCTTGAATTTAATTTAAATTATCAATAGGGTGTACTCAATGATGCTGAGCACTGTATATATTATTGTTTATTTGTTTATTTTTTAATTATTAATACATTTTATATTATACTACATTATAATATTATAAATGTATGTATAATTTCCTTTTCTCAAAATAACGTTCAGTGGTCACACTGTATTGTTTAGATTTTAGAGCCACCAGGTGGCGCTATGACATTGTTTTATAAATACTGGAAATTCCAAAGCAAAAATAAGAAGCTGGCTTACAAATTGTACATGAACGTTAAAATCCTAAAGTTATCTTAGACCAAATAAATAAATAAATATTCTTAAATAAATATACCTCATTCTTAGTTTTAGCAATATACATATTTCTATGCATATTGTTTATAGTAATTTTTTTTTTTTAATTTCCAGACAACAAGAAATCGAATAATAGATGTAAAAGCTGTGCAAGAGTTATCATTTATAAAACCTCACTAAAATCCTTGGGTTTGTGGGAATTTTGAAACAAAAGTATGAAGTATTTGTTTTAGTGTACACCACTCATAAAGGGAAAGTTCACCCAAGACTTAAAACATACTCGTGGGCTGTTTCTCAATTCTAATAACGCAGAGACCGGACGTGCCTCCTTATGGAGAGTGTTCTTATCAGATGTCCTCGGAAGAACGAACTCGGCAGACGCAAAAACAGAGAACGCGTCCTCTGAGAAATGAGATGCTGCGTTCTTCCTTGTTTTTCCCGGATGGTCATATGACCTTCACACGTTTTTAATGAAAAATTATTTAAACATTACAGCATTCATACAGCCATTTATTGTTTTTTCCCTTTTCAATACTATACATAAAAAACTATAAATATGCATTGCACAATACAAATAAAACAGATTTTAATACGAACTTTAGCAAATAACCCCCCCCCCCCCCCCCCCATTGTGTTTATACCTCTATAAAGATTTTCATGGTAATGTTTACTTTCACTGTTTCATTTAGTGAAACTTTTGCGATAAATAAGTTATATCTCTGAACTTTAATAATAAACGGGTAAAGAATGCTGCGCTTCCACCTCCTTTATTCAGCTACAATGACTTCTGGGACTTCTCAAGTTAGTTTAGCACTGAAGTCTGCATCGATGCATCCTCGATGATAACAAGAACACATCCGGGAACTTTCACAAGTCCTTTCGGTCTTTGGCAGTCGATGATGACGTTACACGAAAACATGAGGACACAACATCACTGAAGACCGCATATTGAGTAATTATTTACTCACCCTCAAGTGGTTATAAGCTTTTATCAGTTTCTTTCTTCTGTCGAACACAAAAGATAATATTTTAATGAAAGCTTAAAACCTGTAAGCACTGACATTCATAGAAGCAAAAAAAAAAACGAATACTATGAAAGTCAGTATTTACAGGTTTTCAGCACTCTCTAAAATATAATCTTTTGTGTTCAACAGGAGAAAGACACTCTTAAAGGGATAGTGAAGTGGATAGTGAATGTTTTTGGGTGAACTATTCCTTTTAGTATCCTTGAATATTGATAATCTATTATGCATTTATGACTTGAGATATCCCTTCTGTTAAGTGAATTACTGTTATGTTTAAATTAATATAAAAGTTAGACTTACCTCATCTGTTATAGCGTTTGCCAATGATTCGAATTCAGGGGATAATCTGTTTGAATATTCTTCTTTGAAAGTTTGATTGAGGCTGAAGGATAAGCTTATAGCTCCCTCTTTAAGGGAAGGAGGATCTGTTTTTGACGTTATTAGTGCCACTGTGGTCGACGTAATTGTTGATTTTTTGGTAACAGATTGGGTCAATGTAGTATATCTTGTTGATGATGAAGTTGTTTCAGCTTGTGTAGTTCTTTTAACAGTGGTGAAGTCTGAGGTATTAGCTGTCGATACTGATGACATTGATGTTAAAGCTTTAGATTCATTTTTGGTTGTTGAGGGTTTGGTTGTGACTTGAGGCGTTTGTGTTGTCGATGTTGAAGCTCTGTTTGAAGTACTAGACTCTGGTAGGCCTGTTGTTGTGTTGGATGTAGATGAAACCTTAACTGTGGTGGTCTTGTTTGTCAACAGGTCATTTCTAACAGTTGATGCGATGCTTGTCCCGGATGTAGCTGCGGTGTTGTTTCTTGTTGTTGATACCAACAATGTTGTGCCCTTGGTAGATGATTTCGTAAGGTTGGATGTTGATGATGCCTCTGTAATTGGTGTTGCGTTGCTAGAAGAAATAGTTGTTACTGCAGTAGAATTCAATTTTAATGTAGTTTGACCTGTTGATGAAGAACCTGTTTGATTTGTAGACTCTTGTGTCCTTGTTGTCACAGTTGTGGAGACTACTGTGGTTTGAGACATTGTTACTGGTGTTATTGTTGTAGCTTGTGAAGTTTTAGTTGTGGCTTGAGATGTGTTCTGTTTCGAGGTTGAAGCTGTCGTCAATGTATCAGTTGTCACAGATTGTAATACAGTAGATGAAGCCGTTGAAGTAGATACAGTAGTTGATGCACTGAGTGGAGTAGTAGAATCAGTTTGGCTTGTTTTTGTAGCAGTTATATTTCTAACTGTTGATGCTGTGCTGGTCCCTGATGCAATAGATGGTAATGCTGATTTCACTCCTGTTGAGGGTGCTACAGTTCCTCTTGTTGTTGGCACCAATAATGTTGTAGTCTCCGTTGATGATTCTGGAGTTCTGGATGTACTTGTGACTGTTGTAGTTTCTTTACCTGCAGTACTTGAAGATGAGGATGTCTCTGTTATTGGTGCTGCTGTGCTGGGAGAAGTACTTGATTTTGGTGTATATGGAGATGTTAATGTAGTTTGACTTGTCAATGAAGCTGTTTCAGCTTGTGTTGTAAGATTTTGTGTTACTGTTTTGACAGTGGTGGAGATTTCTGTTCCATGAGTATTTGATACTGGTGTCGTTGACATTAATGTTGTAGTTTCTCTGTGGGTTGATGAAGGTTCAGTTGAGATGATTTGAGATGTTTCTGGTTTCAAGCCTGAAGATGCAAGTGCTGTTGTTGACTCTGCTATGCCTGATGTTGCTGTTTTCAATGTAGATGAAAGCTCAGCTAGTGTTGTCTTGGTGGTTTCCTTGTTGTTGTTAGCAGTTGTTGATGTAGTTGTGTCAAGTAAAGTTGCTGGCGATGCTGATGAGGCTGCAGTAGTTTGACCTATAGTTGTGTCCTCTGTGGATGATTTGGTATTTTTGGATGTTCCTGCAATTGTTGTCTTTACGTCCTCTGCTTGAGTTAAATGTGTTGCTGTGCTTGGAGACATAGTTTGACCTGTTGATGGAGAACCTGTTTCAGCTTGTGTTGTAGGATTTTGGGTCACTGTTTTGACAGTGAAAGTGACCTCTGAGGTATGAGCCGTTGTTACAGGTGTCACTGGCATAAATGTTGTTGTTTCTGTTAAAGGTTCAGTTGTGACTTGAGTTGTTGGTGAGTTTGAAGTTGTTGGTGCAGTAGAAGATTCTGGCAGGCTTGTTTTTGTTGTCACTACATCTTGTGTTGTATTCATCCTAGTTGTTTCTGGTTCATTTCTAGCAGTGGATGCTGTGCTTGTTCCTGATGCAGTTGATGGCAATGCTGAAGCCACTGTTGCTGAGGCTGCGGTGGTTGAAGATGTACTTGAAGTAGATGATGCCTCTGTTATTGCTGCTGCTGTTGTGCTGGGAGAAATAGTTGATTCTGTTGTTAAAGTTGATGTTAATATGGTTTGACCTGTTGATGAAGATCCTATTTTGGCTTGTGTTACTGTTTCGACAGTGGTGGAGCCTTCTGAGGCATAAGCCGTTGTTACTGGCGATAATGTTGTCGTTTCTTTTTGGACTGTTGAAGTTTCGGTTGTGACTTGAGATGTTTCTGTTATCAATTTTGAAGCTGTATCTTTAGTAGAAGACTCTGCTAGGCCTGTTGTTGTTGTCAATGTATCTACTGCCACAGATTGTGATGCAGGAGAGGAAATCTCAGCTAATGTTGTCTTAGTTGTTTCTACCTCATTGCTAACAGTTTGTCCTGTAGATGTGCCCAGTGCACTCACTGGCAATGCTGATGTCACCGGCACCAGGGTTGATGCTTGGAGTGGAGTAGTAGACTCTTCCGGGCTAGGTTTTGTTGTCACTGTATCTTGTGTTGAAGTAATCCCAGTTGTTTGTGTATCATTTCTAACAGTCGATGCTGTGCTTGTTTCTGATGTAGCTGCAGTGGTTTCGGTAGATGAATCTGTAGATCTGGATGTACTCGTTTCTGTAGTTATTGAAGGTAATGATGCCTCTGTTATTGGAGCTGCTGTGCTGGAAGAAATAGCTGATTCAGTTGTAAAAGTTGATGTTAATGTGGTTTGACCTGTTGATGTAGAACCTGTTTCAGCCTGTGTCACTGTTTTGATAGTGGTGGAGACTTCTGAGGTAAGACCAATTGTCACTGGAATCACTGGCATTAATGTTGTAGTTTCTTTTTGTACTGTTGAAGGTTCACTTGTGAGTTGAGAAGTTTCTGATATCAGTGTTGAAGCTGTGGATGCAGTTGAAGATTCTGCTAGGTTTGTTGTTATTGTTGTTGTCAATGAATCTACTGCCACAGATGACGACACCGGAGATGAAACCACAGCTAGTGTCGTCTTAGTTGTTTCCACTTGATTGCTAACAGTTTCTCCTGTAGATGTGCCCAGTGCACTTACTGGCAATGCTGATGTCACCAGCGCCAGGGTTGATGCTTGGAGTGAAGTAGTAGACTCTTGTTGGCTAGTTTTTGTTGTTACTGTATCTTGTGTTGAGGTAATCCCAGTTGTTTCTGGATAATTTTTAACAGTTGATGCTGTGCTTGTTCCTGATGCAGTTGATTGTAATGCTGAAGCAGCTCCTGCAGAGGCTGCAGTAGTTTCACTTGTACTTGAAGGTGATGATGTCTCTGTTATTGGTGTTGTTGTGCTAGAAGAAATGGTTGATTCTGTTGTAAAAGGTGATATTAATGTAGGCTGTCCTGTTGATGAAGAACCTGTTTTAGATTGTGTTGTAAAATCTTGTGTTACTGTTTTGACAATGGTGGAGACTTCTGAGGTTTGGTTCATTGTTGCTGGCTTCACTGACATTGATGTTGTAGTTTCCTTTTGGACTGTTGAGGGTTCACTTGTGAGTTGAGAAGTTTCTGATATCAATGTTGAAGCTGTGGATCCAGTTGAAGATTCTGCTATGTCTGTTGTTATAGTTGTCGTCAATGTATCCACTCCCACATATTGTGACACAGGAGATGAAACCTCAGCTAGTGTTGTTTTAGTTGTTTCCACTTGATTGCTAACAGTTTCTCTTGATGTGCCCAGTGCACTCACTGGCATTGCTGATGTCACCAGCACCAGGGTTGAAGATTTGGGTGGAGTAGTAGACTCTGGTTGACTAGTTTTTGTCACTATGTCTTGTGTTAAAGTAATCCCAGTTGTTTGTGTATTATTTCTAACAGTCGAGGCTGTGCTTGTTCCTGATGTAGCTGCAGTGGTTTCTGTAGAGGATTCTGTATTACTGGATGTTGTTGTGTCTGTTGTTATTGAAGGTGATGATGCCTCTGTTATTGGAGCTGATGTGCTGGGAGAAACAGTTGATTCTGTTGTAAAAGTTGATGTTAACATGGTCTGACCTGCTGATGTAAAATCTGTTTCAGCTTGTGTCACTGTTTTGACAGTGGTGGAGATTTCTGATGTGTAATCCATTGTTACTGGCATTAATGTTGTGGTTTCTTTTTGGGCTGTTGAAGGTTCGGTTGTGACTTTAGAAGTTTCTGATATCAATGTTGAAGCTGTGGATGCAGTTGAAGATTCTGCTAGGTTTGTTGTTATTGTTGTCAATGTATCTACTGCCACAGATGGTGACACAGGAGATGAAACCTCAGCTAGTGTTGTTTTAGTTGTTTCCACTTGATTGCTAACAGTTTGTCCTGTAGATGTCCCCAATGCACTTACTGGTAATGTGGATGTTACCAGCACCAGGGTTGAGGATTGGAGTGAAGTAGTAGACTGTTGTTGACTAGTTTTTGTTGTCACTGTGTCTTGTGTTGATGTAATCCCGGTTGTTTGTGTATCATTTCTAACAGTTGATGCTGTGCTTGTTCCTGATGTAGCTGCATTGATTTCTGTAGATGACTTTGTATTACTGGATGTTGCTGTGTCTGTTGTTATTGAAGGTAATGATGTCTCTGTTATTGGAGCTGCTGTGCTAAGAGAAATAGCTGATTCTGTAGTAAAAGTTGATGTTAATGTGGTTTGATCTGTTGATGTAGAACCTGTTTCAGCTTGTGTCACTGTTTTGATAGTGGTGAAGACTACTGAGGTATGATTCGTTGTCGCTGGAATCACTGGCGATAATGTTGTAGTTTCTTTTTTGACTGTTGACGGTTCGGATGTAGCTTGAGATGTTTCTGATATCAGTGTTGAAGCTGTGGATGCAGTTGAAGATTCTGCTAGGTTTGTTGTTATTGTTGTTGTCAATGAATCTACTGCCACAGATGACGACACCGGAGATGAAACCACAGCTAGTGTTGTCTTAGTTGTTTCCGCTTGATTGCTAACAGTTTCTCCTGTAGATGTGCCCAGTGCACTTACTGGCAATGCTGATGTCACCGGCACCAGGGTTGATGCTTGGAGTGGAGTAGTAGACTCTTCCGGGCTAGGTTTTGTTGTCACTGTATCTTGTGTTGAAGTAATCCCAGTTGTTTGTGTATCATTTTTAACTGTTGATGCTGTGCTTGTTCCTGATGTAACTGCAGTGGCTTCTGTAGATGATTCTGTATTACTGGATGTTGTTGTGTCTGTAGTTATTGAAGGTGATGATGCCTCTGTTATTGGAGCTGATGTGCTGGGAGAAACAGTTGATTCTGTTGTAAAAGTTGATGTTAACATGGTTTGACCTGTTGATGTAGAACCTGTTTCAGCTTGTGTCACTGTTTTGACAGTGGTGGAGACCTCTGATGTGTAATCCATTGATACTGGCACTAATGTTGTGGTTTCTTTTTGGGCTGTTGAAGGTTCTGTTGTGACTTTAGATGTTTCTGATATCAATGTTGAAGCTGTGGATGCGGTTGAAGATTCTGCTAAGTTTGTTGTTATTGTTGTTGTCAATGTATCTACTGCCACAGATTGTGACACAGGAGATGAAACCAAAGCTAGTGTTGATGCTGTGCTTGTTCCTGATGTAGCTGCAGTGGTTTCTGTAGATGATTCTGTATTACTGGATGTTGTTGTGTCTGTAGTTATTGAAGGGGATAATGCCTCTGTTATTGGAGCTGATGTGCTAGGAGAAACAATTGATTCTGTTGTAAAAGTTGTTGATAATGCGGTTTGACCGGTTGATGTTGATGCTGTGTCATCTTGTGTTACTGTTTTGACAGTAGTGGAGATATCTGAGGCATGAGCATCTGATACTGGCGTCATTGATATTAACATTGTAGTCTCATTTTGGGCTGTCAAAGGTTCAGTTGTGACTTGAGGTGTTACTGGCATCAAAGTTGAAGCTTTGGGTGAAGTGGTGGAGTCTGCTGTTGTTGTTAGTGTATCTATTCCCTCAGAATGTGATACAGGAGATGTAACCTCATCTAGAGTCGTCTTAGTTGCTGGTTCATTGCTAACAGTTGCTGATGTGCTCAGTGCACTTTCTGGCAATGCTCCTGTTGATGGTGAAGTAGTTGCACTTGCTAACTCTACAGATGTAAGAGTCACACTAGATGTTGATGATATTGTTGTTGGATATTCTGTTTCTGACACAGATGCTGTTTCACTTTGTGTTATTAAATCTGTTTTAGGTTGTAAATGCTCTGTTGTGTCTTGAGGGGATGTTTTTGACTGTGTTGACATTGTTGCAGATTGTACTGTTTTGGTTGTCACTGGCTCTTCTGTAGATACTGTCTGTACAGGCTGAAGTGTTGACATTGTTCCTAAAGGTAAGTCAAAAGAGAATGGAGTTTGTGTATAGTATCGACATTGTAATCATTTAGTGTAACAAAACTAAACTCAGAAACCATCTCTGGTGAATTCTGCTTATACTTGTATTCAATGAATTGCATTTACTGTTCATGTAAAGAAAACTGTTGCTGCGTCCAAAATTTATACTTCCATACTATAAAGTACCAAAAGCAATATGCAATCCGAGTAGTACAGGGTGTTCAAATTTTTTAAATTCAAAAAACAGTAAGCGAGAATTACCCTGATGACCTACTACTTCCGGCGAGATTCTGAAGTGCACATTCAATGGCTGCTACTCTATCCCATAATGCACCCCAAGAAAATTCATGAATTTGAGTAAAACGACGCAACTGACGCAGGTAGGTCCCATGGTGATGACAAAATGGCGGAAGCAGTACGTCCAAGTTACCTTCATACTACTCACATTCATACTTTATAGAACATACTTTTCTAATGGTCGAGTTGTACATTTAAATTCATCTGCAGTACCTACTAAGTAGTATGCAAATTCAGACTCAGCCTCTTTCATTTAAAAAAAATCAACATAGCATCAAATCTACTCAAAGCTATGCAAGTGATCTGAGTTCTATTCTTCATACCTCACTTAAACAATCTAAGATGATTTGACTGATCCTGGATCTTATAATCTTGATAACTGAGCTCTGGCTAATTTGGTTATGCACAGCCAAATTAAATAAGATGCGCAAAAACTTTCTATAATTGCTGTTGACTGCTAACATTTTCATGCATCTTTCAAGTGTTTAGAAATTTACTTATTTTTATTTTTGGAGTGGATTTTCTTTGGAATAGTATTCAAGTTTAATCCTGTGACATGAGGCATAACAGTATTACCTTTGCTTGAAATGACATGATCTAATCTTGTTAATATGAAACAGTTCAGGTAAATGAGTAATCCACTTACGAAGATTGGACCACAAAAAGGGAGAGACATGTTCAAGGATCTTAAACTTGTTAGTGCCCACATGAAAAATACAATATTATTATAAAGTAAATAATGTGTTGGTATTGAACCGTACTTTAGTTAAGTAGGCTACTTACTTAGGCTACCTAAATTTTGTTGTGGTTATTTTACACTAACCAGCCGCTTTATTAGGTACATGGTGTGGGGGATATTTAAGTAAGAATGATTGATGAAATCATATGAAACAGTCCCTTAAAAGTGACATTGCATCTTCAGTTTTGGGCTCAGGCGCACTTTGCATTCATACTACAAGCGCACTATGCCAAATCCCAACTGAACTGTGCTTTGGCACACCTCTGGCACACCTAAACGCACCAGGGCATGGTTTGGATAGCCTAGCGTGACTGAGTGCACCCTTATAGACTGACATAGTCATAACTTATTTTGTCAAACCTGTTTCGAGTATCACATTCGCCTCTGTTGATCCTGCCTCCACTGTAGACTGTAAAAGTGTAGTGGAAGCCAGTGGTGCAGTTCTGGATGTTATTTCAGTTGTTGTACTCATTGTATCTGATGTAGGTGGTTGATTTGTAGATGAGATGGTGGTTTCTGTTTGTGAACTTGGTGTGTTTGTGCTAGTAGGTTGTGTGAGGATTTTTGGTTGTCTTGAGTTGATGGTTGGTGAGTTGAATGCTGTTGTTTGAGTGGTGAATGTTTCTGGCCGAACTGAAGTTTGTAAATCAGTTGTGGTTTCTGTTCCTACATCTGGAGTCTTCTGTTTGCTTGAATGTGCTTGAATGGTGGTTGTTAGGGGCTCTGTTGAAATGGTAGAGTTTGTTGTTCTGCTTGTTGATTCTTCTGAAGTGGTTTCTGGGAAAATTGGCATCGTAGTTGTTGTTGCTGGTATTGAGTTAAAGGTCTCTGTTGAATATGAGTCTGTTGGTGTTGTGGCGAATGTGACAGCAGGAGATATGGGATTAGATTTTTTAAGGGCTGCAAAATAAATAAATAAATAAATACATTTATTATGATTAAAATATCAGAACTTTCTGAGAAAATATGTCATACAATTGTATAATAAAACTTAGAGTGTTATTGATTTCTTACATATTTCTAAAAAGGGATACCAATATTGTCTGGAAATAACAAGTGCTCCTTTCCTGAAAGATGCAAAAATTACAATTATATCATTTTTTCATAGAAATGTTAAAAAAAAACATAGTTATCAGTGAACTTTTATTCATTAAAAAAATAGATCCCTCAAATGAAAAACTCACACTCAAGTGTTTTAAAAATTCTGTTGAAACACAAAAGAAGATATAGTGAAGAACGCTGGGTAAAAACCAGCCATTGAACAAAAATACCATGGAAGGTAATGGCTGTTTTCCCCAACATTCTTCACAATGTTTACCTTTGTGGTCAAGTGGAAGATGAGTAAATCATGGCAGAAATTGCATTTTTGTGTGATCTAACATAATATCAAACTGGATGCTTCTTGCAAAAGAACATTGCAACCCAGACTCATTATAAAAACATACCCCTATCTACATTTCTGGAGATCATGAAATACGTCCCAGGAGGTATGTTTTTTTGCAGATTTTGTTTTCACGAATCCACCAGAGGCCGCTGTTTACACTTTTTCAGTACGCCATTTGCGCCTGCTGTTCTCGAGTAAATCCAACAGAGGCCGCTGTCATCTGACTGACTGACTGACCGATCAACTTATCCACCCTCCTCCTTTCCTAATTCCAGCCAATAGTGTTTTCAAAAGCACCAATTGACCAGCATCCACCCACTTTCCTAAACCCAACCGACAGCCCTCACCTGATTTTGACCCCATTTTCAGATTTTACCACATTCTCACTCTGTTATTTACTTGTTTAATTTATTTTTTGGCTTCTGTTTTTGTCTTTACTGCTTTCTGGAACCAAACTCAAACCCTGCCATCTTGGTCAGCTCTTCTCTGCATTTCAAGTCTGCTGACATACAGTTGAAGTCAGAGTTATTAGCCCCCTTTTGATTTTTTTATTTCTCTTTTAAATATTTTCCAAATGATTTTTAACAGAGCAAAGAAATTTTCAAAGTATGTCTGATAATATTTTTTCTTCTGGAGAAAGTCTTATTTGTTTTATTTTGGCTAGAATGAAAGCAGTTACATTTTTTAAAACCCATTTTTGGGACAAAATTATTTGCCCCTTTAAGCTAATTTTTTAGTTAATTTTTTTCGATAATCTACAGAACAAACCATCGTTACACAATAACTTGCCTAATTACCCTAACCTGCCTAGCTGACCTTATTAACCTAGTTAAGCATTTAAATGTCACTTTAAGCTGTATAGAAGTGTCTTGAAAAATATCAAGTAAAATATTATTTACTGTCATCATGGCAAAGATAAAATAAATCAGTTATTAAAAATGAGTTATTAAAACTATTATGTTTAGAAATGTTCTGAAACAATCTTCCCTCCATTAAAGAGAAATTGGGGGAAAAAATTTACAGGGGCGCTAATATTTCAAGGGGGCTAATAATTTTGACTTCTACTGTACATGGCGAATTAACTGAACAAACTGGTAACAGCAGGAAAGCCTCCCATATGGGGATAAGTGGTCAGCTGGTGAGCGCAAAAAGGAATATTGTCATACCTCTCCATAGCGTTAGTTTTAAAGACGAAATGCAGGCATAGGTATTTCTGGCTACATAATTTGCGATCTCCAGAAACATATATAGGGCTACGTTTTCAGAATGAACCTATATTGTGAACATTGTCCTGTAGGTAGATTATAACTACTACACAGCAGGGACCAACCTAAAAAATCTAAAATAGTCCCTCAAAACAAATAGTGCCACTTATAAGGTTCAACAGGATTCAAGAAACCACCTAATGTGCTCCGTCATTACATACATTTGAAAATCAGTCTCCAAATGTTGTTCACCTACAACCTAATTATTTATCAGACTTTCATCAACATTTGTTCACTATCTGATTATCTGCACTTAGCTGCCAATAGATGTGAAAAAGCTAGAAAAGATGACGCATTTATATTTTGGAAACCTCTTAGAATGAAAACAATATTCCCTCACTTACCTAAAAATTTTAGTTTTTGTACGATTGGCCACAGGCCAGTATTCCAGTGTCTTGTTCTATAGAAAAAAAAAGACATGCCAGTTAGTGAGTTCAATGAACTGAGAAGAACCCTAAATGTACCGTGCCTTACATTTAGAAGGGGTCTTTCAATAATTCTTCGATATGTTGAGGGTTTAGGATGTGAAACTGCTGAAGAGGCAAAGAGAAAAAATATGTTACCGAAAATATAAATGAACTCAAGTTTCATCACACTTTGTTATCACAAATGCATCACACTTGTTATTCTCAAATAAAAAAGTTGATTCTGTTATAATTGTAACTGTTTCCTGTAGAATTCCTCACTGTAGACAAAAGCAGATCACTAGATTTTACCTGAATCTGTCACATTATATGTATTTTCACATGCCGGCCCCAAAAATGCTGGTAAAAGAGATATAACTAGTGTAAGTTTGTGAATATCAACACATCTTTAACAGTCCTACAATATATTTTGCACAAATGTTTAAATCATGAATTTATTTTTACCTATAATAATGAATAGAAGCACTAAGGGAGACATCATCCTTTTTATGTCACCCTGTGTTCCTGCAAATAGGTTAAATGTTAGTGCATGACAATACAACAATACAAGACATTCCTTAGCAGATGGATCTTGTGACACTGTATATCATGTTACATTATTCAGAAAGCACCCTTATATTTATAGTTAGCTTAATATTTATGCTTGCAATGTTGTTTGGTGACTTCATTTAGTATTTGCAAAATGTTAATGTCTGAATTGCTGAGGAAACACATTGTTTTCTCATTATTTTAAGAAAAAATACTACTTTCGTTTGTAACAAAACAAACCGGTTTAACTGGCATTTCATGTCATTTTAATCGCAGGCCGGATTGTAGATTTCAGTCTAGATTTCAGCTGATCAATGTTAGATTCTCAGTGAACTGAAATATACACCTGTTCTTGGGATCCTCTCTGAATTTTAACCTTCTGAGTATATTAGGATAAGCAATTTTCAGACATATCTTTAACCATAGCATCAGAAGTCATAATAATTAAAGAATCCCTGTTGAAAAATCCAGCTTAAACCAGCCTAGGCTGGCTGGGTGGTTTTAGCTGGTTGACCAGCCTGGTTTTAGAGAGGTTTGGGCCATTTCCAGGCTGGTTTCCAGCCATTTCCTGCCTGGTTTAGGCTGGACATAGCTGGTTTTAGCTGGTCATCTCCCAGCCTGACCAGCTAAGACCAGGCTGGAAATGGCTGGAAGTGTCCCAAACCCCTCTAAAACCAGCCTGGTCGACCAGCTAAAACCAGCCAACCAACCTAGGCTGGTTTAAGCTGTTTTTTCAGTAGGGATGACAAGGCAAAATAAATAATAAAGCGTTTAGAAAAAAGGCTGTGATTTTTAAAGGTAAACAAACTTCTACAGTAAAAATGCTACAGTAAAAATTTGTATCCTGGTTAACAGTAAGTTGTCATTTGAATAACTGTAAATTGACCTTTTCAGAGTTTCACCTGCTTTTGGTTGCATTATTTGCAATGATGGTATGATAGGTATGATGTGTAGATGTTTCAAAACATTGTAATATAACACTATATGGTATACTACCATAAAATATTGACTTTTTTTTACAGTTTCTGCTATAAGCAATCCACAGCTTCCTTTTTTTACTGTGAATTTTACAGATTTAATTTTTTACAGTGCACAGACTTCAGGTTTCAACATTACATCTTGATTTTTGGATTGAAATAAATTGTGTATTAAACATTGTGGAGAATAATTTCATTCTCATACACGTAACAATTTTGTACTTAGTGTCTTTAACTAATAATCATTTGAATATTAATTATTAATCAGTTGATATAATGTACTTTATATCCAGTGCATACATGTTATTACATTGCGTACACAAAAAAAAAACTTTTTTTTTTTTGCACATAGTAACAGTTCTTACACCGAGTTCTAACCACACATGAAGCGACAAGATTCCTAGGACAAGCAATTTGTCTCTCTGCACCAGACACATTATGACAGACAAAAATTAAATAGCCATCAGAAGAGCAAAATAGTGCACGACATTCCTAATGAAATGGTAAAGTTTACAATCAAATTAACATTATTAAAAGTACATGCTGAGTGACATATTTGTTGGTTTGATATATTTAAATATATGTCATCAAACTCACATTAGCATTTAACACCGAATAAAGCACATAATCAGCACATGAGGTGATCATTGTCGTAGTAGTTTATCCTGTTGTGCAGCCATGTCATCATAGAAATAGACAAAAAGAGAAGTTTTAGGCACCACTGTCACAGATATTTAGGACAAAATCAAATTTTAACATGGAAAACATTGTTTATCTTGTGTCATGGTATTCATGGCATCTTTAGTTAGGAAACAGTGTTTGTTTTAGGGTTCGTTATTTCTCACCTTTTTGTTTTTCAAACCTCATTGCTGGTTTTCTGGAGCTCAGCCATCAACTACACAGACTGCCAGCACTCTATTAACAGGTAAGTGAATTCTTTCTAAAAATATCTTTAAATTTGAACTTTTAAAAGCTCTGTTCAGTTGAGGATACCACTCTCCTTTTCTCCAATGTGTAATTAACAGAGATATTGAACATACAGTATGATTATATCTATATAATATTTAAAATTATTACTTGGGCTTATGTATAAATAGTCAGCAAATATAAAAGACATCTTGTTGTTTATTTATTTAGTATTTATCCATTTTTGCTACTGCACACTGTAACTTGTTTGTGTATTTCTGATGCTGTGCTGGTTTACAAAAATGAGACTCAAGTTTACCAAGATGAACTTAATGAAGGCTGTAACTGCAACATAGACAGTGTGAAGACATTTCATTGGAACTTGGACTTTATTGCATAAATTTAGCATTTCTGTTTTTTTTTTTTTTCAGTTTTGTATTAATGAATTAAATTACTAATTTTTGCTCATATATATTTGCTCATATATATTTGTCATAACTGGCTTGTGTAATTTTTTGTTTTTTATTACCACAACAAAGCATGTAAAATGTAAGACCAGACTTATGCACAGTACATACATATATTCATTCATTCATTTCCCTTTAGGTTAGTCCCTTATTTATCAGAAGTCACCACAGCAGAATGAACCGCCAACTATTTCAAAATATGTTTTACACATTGGATGCCCTTCCGGCCGCAACCCAATAGCCTACTGATACATCTATACACTCACATGCACACACACACACTATATACACTACGGCCAATTTAGTTCATGCAATTCACTACCGCATGTCTTTGGACTGTGGGGGAAACCGGAGCACAGGGAGAAAACCCACGCACACACAAGGAGAACATACAAACTCCACACAGAAATACCAACTGATCCAGACAGGACTCAAACCAGTGACCTACTTGCTGGAGGCAAGTGCTAACCATTGAGCCACTGTGCTGCCTACATACATACATACTAATAAATAAAATAAAAAAAATAAAAATATCAATAAATAATTTGTAAAAGTAATGTTATAATAAATAAATACAGACTCTTAATATACTACTAATAATGAAAATATTAAAATAAAACCCTGTCTAACAATGAACTGTAAAAGGCACACACTAAAAAACGCAAAAAGTTATTTTAACCCAATACTGGTTGTAATACCAAACTCAACTCACTATTGATGTTGATATTGAATTAAATTATTAGGACCGAATTTAACCGAATGTTTGGGTTAGTCCATATTTTACCCAATTAGGGTTTTAATAACCCAGCATTTCTTAAAGTGTAAATAACTCTATTTACTGTTTATAATCCTTGCCCTTGATTGGCTCAATGTTCTTAAGAAAGTTGCTGTGCATTAAATAAAAGCTGACTGTGTTACTTCATTTAAGAATATTTGACATTTTTTTTCATCATTTATGTCAAAGATTTCCTTAATTATAACTAAATCTTATAAAATATTGGATGAAATCTGTTTTATGATGCTTTGTGTAATTGAAAACCTACACTGTAAAAATGATGGGTTCAACAATTCATTTGTGTTCGGACAATATAAAGGAATTATGTTTGCTTATTAGTTTTCACAAATTTAAGTGGATTGAACATAAAACAATTAAGTTGTTTTCCCCAAAAATCTTGCAAATCGGGCTCATTTTAAATAAGTAGTTTGAACAACCAGCAAACATCATGTTTTTGAGTGTACGACTGATGGTCAGAGCATATCATGAGATTATGGTCTGAGTACAGTTTGTTTTGCTTTAAGGATCTTAATTTGTTTGGATGTGTCAAGCAGAGCACAATATAGCCTTTAACTAAACTGTCAAAACCCAACATGTGTCTCTAGCACATAAAAATCCCTCACTTTTAAATAATGATAATAAAAATTTTTTTGGCATAAATGCAATTTTATTTTATTATTGTTATTATTGTTGTTGTTGTTATTATTATTATTATTTGACTTCCTCAAATTTGCTATTAAAAATAAAATAATGTATAATCTTCTAGCACAAAATCATTTTCTGTTAATTTACAGACTTTATGTAAAACATGACAGTATATTGTATAATTTAAAATAAAATTATTTTGAAACATATGATTTACAAACAATTTAAATTATAGTATATATTTAATTATAATTCTTATTTTGCATTATCATTATAAGTCATCTTGGGATTCCCCAAATCTCTGATGATGTTACAGATAATTTTAAAGACAATCTATAATCAGTATCAAAAATCTAAACTTTTGAAATAAATAAAAAATTTTGTGAAGACATTTGTAGTTTTGAAAACATTTAGTTTTTTTTAGCTGCTGACTATATTCCAACTCGCTTCTACTGTATATATTTCTGTTATTTTAATTGTTGTTGCTGCTGTTTTTGTAAATAAAAGCCCAAATGATTAAATAATGGCAGAACTGAACGATCTGCACACGGAAATGTAAAATAAATAATTGCAGATTTAAAAGAAACGAAAGAAATGTGATGAAACAATAGGACTAAAACCAGTTTGGCAGAGTTTACTGTAAATCTACCTAAGGAACACGCAGTGAGCGCAGCCTTTGGCTATTAAAGAGACATTACACGAATAAATAAATCCATCAATAACGCTTTCAGGAAAGAAAAGAAACACAGACCCTTCTCTTTTACAAACTCAATTCTTCTGACAATTCATCTGCAAACTGATCAAATCAACCAAGCAGTAGTTTGAATCGAAACTAATCTATTTAATATTGTGTGTACAATTTATCAGCCGCGTATTCTTACCTATTATTAGTACTCCTGATCTTCAGGTTTCCATAAATGTAATACAATCCAGAACATATTATAAAAAGAAAATAAGTGGTAGAGATGAAGCGAGTCCTCCTTTGTCCTTCCGAGTGATCTAGTCAAGTGTTTCCATTTAAAGTTCAATGGATTGATGCAGTTTTGTTTGGTGCTGTCGCAGGTGGAGCCGCGCACACGCATCTTTGAAATGTCAAGCATGTTCCCGAATTCATGGATTCATCATTACCTGAATTTCAGCATTGCATCTCTTTATAATGCTTCGAAGAATCTGAGCTGATGTCTGGGATTGACTAATGGAAAGATTATTTCAAGGTATAACTAACACTGCTTTTACTAAACACTGAGCAGCACGACGTTTATAAACTTTGACAATTATAACACTATCAAACACAGATGGTCAATTTCTTATTATACGTTTGGAGGAAATGTCTCCAAAATGTCATGGGTGACATGGTGGCACAGTTAGTACTGTCGCCTCACACCAAGGTCGCTGTTCTCCCCAATGTTGGCGTAGGTTTCCGGGTGCTCCGGTTTCCCCCACAGTCTAAAGACATGTGGTATAGTTAAATTGAATAAAGTAAATTGGCCATAGTGTGTGTGTGTGTGTGTGTGTGTGTGTGTGTGTGTGTGTGTGTGTGTGTTTGTGCATATTTTTAGTACTGGGTATCAGCTGGAAGGGCGTCCGCTGGATAAGTTGTCGGTTCATTCTGCTGTGGCGACCCCTGATGAATAAACGGACTAAACCGAAGGTAAATGAATGAGTAATTTATATTAATATTTTAAACCAAAATTGTATGTTGACATCACCTAATACACCTTTAATAGTTTATGAACAACTTAAATAGGCATTAAAGGGCATCCTGTTTGGATGCTATTTAAAGCCTTAAGTTGTTCATATGCCAGAGTAATTGGTGGTTCATTCCACTGTGGCCACCCCTGATAAATCAGGGACCAAAGGATAGTGAGTGATTAATATAAATAAAATAAACTTAACATTTTGTATCAAATGTAATAAATGATTAGTTAGTAAGTTTACAAATATCAGCTGTGTCCCAATTCACATTCTTGTTAACTTTATGCTGTTTTTGTATATAAAGTGAAGTCGTGCATTCATACAGAAAATTATAAACAGAACAAGTTCACTGAAAATCAGGATGGGGCACTGATTTAACTGCTGAAGAGACGACCCTTAAATACCCTTAAATTGTGCACTTTTAGGCAGCACAGTGGCCCAAAGGTTAGCACTGTCGCCTCACAGCAAAAAGGTTGCTGGTTCAAGTCCAGACTGGGCCAGTTGGCATTTCTGTGTGGAGTTTGCATGATCTCCTCGTGTTCGGGTGGGTTTCCTCCAGGTGTTCCGGTTTCCCTCACAGTCCAAAGAAATGCAGTACAGGTGAATTGGTTAGGTTAAATTGTCCGTAGTATTTGAGTGTGTATGGATATTTCCCACAGATGGGTTGCAGCTGGAGGGGCATCGCTGTGCAAAAGATATGCTGGATAAGTCGGCGGTTCATTCCACTGTGGTGACCCTATGTTAATAAAGGGACTAAGTTGAAAAAAAATTGATGAATGAATGTTTGCGCCCACACTGACAAATGATAAAATGTGCTTATTTTTAGTTTATGATTTTCATAAACATTTATCAGTAGATGTCCTCAGTATATTAGCACATCTGACCAGTGACTTTCTATTTTAAAATGTAATAATTTAATTTTAAAAAAGCATCATTTGTAAACAGTGTAGTGAAAGGAAAACAACAAACTATTTTGCCCGGCGTTTTTAAAGGATGCAGAAAGACGCTGAAACTAGAACTATACTTTAATTTGTTAGCCTGGCCTGCATAACTTCCTTGTTTTTTATTGTTCTTTCCCATGTTATAACAAATGGTTTGTAGATAGTCATCTTTAAATAACATTTCAAAAGAGGGCTTTACATCAAGCAGTGCTTGAAGCGTGGAGAACACAATGTCATCTGTAGCTTTAAACTGCGTGAGCCCTTTACATTTCAATGGATTTCAACTGTTTAATCTTCTGTTAGCTGAGAAAAAAAATCTGAAAGTTGTGGTCTGAACCCTGCTGCTGTTGTTTACATTAAGAACAATTATTAGAACTCACCTTTATTGTAATCTTCATACTTACTGTGTGAACGGGAACTGTATTGTTTTTTTTTATCTCTTCATTAGACGTGTATAAAAATGTGGTTACACTTTTTTTAAGTGTTAAGCTTTGAGCTGGAAAATATGCTAAACCTGTTTTTCAAGACACTTAAATAAATAAGCTTAATGAGTGCGGTGAAGAAAGCTGTATCTTGAGGTCCAAATATCTTACTACACTATAGCACATTGCTATATTAATGTACATTAGCAATGTAAACATGTAAAACATTAAACATTATGAACAGAAGAGATATCTGGAGTGGAATAATCTGATTATGTTAAGTTTATTCATAAACTAATTTCGAGAGGATCACGTGATTATGATTGAACATGGCTGGTTCTGCATTAGCATGCATGATCCACCAATCAGGCCATTCCTAACCCACTATAAAGAGCCATGGTTTTTTTACTACAGTCATCTTCGATTTGAAGAATCCCCCCTTCCACCTCTACCTTATCACCTTTCCCTCCATAGGGCAGCACGGTGGCCCAGTGGTTAGCACTGTTGCCTCACAGCAAGAACACCACCGGTTCTAGTCCTTTAACAAGCCGGTGGTCATTTCTGTGCGTAGTTTGCATGTTCTACCAGTGCTCACGTGGGTTTTCCCCGGGTCCTCCAGTTTCCTTCCACATTCCAAAAACATGCACAACAAGTGAATTAATGAATCTAGATTTAGCATCACTGTCAAACTCTCATCCAGTAGCATATCTCTTCATATCATTTTAGTCATCAGCTCTTATCAAAAAGGGGGAGTTCTCGTGATCTACCTGAGCTCAAAACTTCCCTCTCCCTCTGCAAACGGGAGGAAGCCCAGGGCTCAAGGACCTTTTGGGCTCAGGGCTTTCTCCCGGGACAGCATGCCAAACTTGCTTATAATCAATCATCAGCTAAGTGTGAACTCTTGAAGTGATCAAGAGTGTTCTTGTTATTCAGAAACCGCATTCTTCTTCATATACTATATCATAAAGTATATCTTATCATAATATAAGAATTAAAATAGTTGGGTGAATGTCTTTTTTCTCTAAATGTACCATGCAGTTTTAACTCCTTACTTGAACTTTCTTGAGGTAAAAACAGCCAAGTTTGTTTATTTACTTAGCTTGGGTGCTTTCGTTTCTTCAAGGCTATTGTTCAGACTTGTTTCCTTAAGTTCATGTCTTAATGAACAAATCTAAAAAAATGATGGTTATCATAGAAGTCACGCAAACACACACGCTCGCACGCTCAATCACACGCTTGTGCATTTGTCTTATTGTGAACTTTTAAGCACACACGTAAGTAAATGAAATATAAATTACACTTAAAGCCGAATTTTTGGAAACATTCCGGTCTGATTTAGTGTTTGGTGATTATTATTAAATACTATTGAAGTTCAATTATTAATGATGAATATCATTGTTATTTTGTCATTATCACCGTTAAAATGTTTCAGCTGCTTTTTGTACCTGATTCTATAGATTATTAAGAGCCCTTTAAACCTAAAAAAAGTATTTTAACTGTTCACTTAAACAAACCAAAATATTTGAAAAAACAATTTTAAGTGTTAAAACTAAATTATTATTTAAGAATGTCCATTATAATCATCCCGGGCTCATTCTGATTATGTACCTCTGTATACATTTCTGGAGAGCGCCAAGTATCCCAGGAGCTATGCTTTTTTTTTTTTGCAGTTTTTGTTTTCACAAATCCACCAGAGACCGTTGTGCACACTTTTACAGACCCCAAATTTCTCTTTCGAGTGCTATTTGCGGCTGCTGTTTTCATGTAAATCCACCAAAGGCCGATGTTGACTGACTGACCGATTGACAAATCGACTGACCCACCCTCTTCTTTCCCTAATCCCAACCAATAGTGTTTTCAAAAGCACCAATTGACCCGCCCACCCACTTGCCAAAACCCAACCAACAGTTTTAAAAAGCACTTCAAAAAAAGACAAACCCTCGCCTGATTTTTACCACATTTTCAGATTTTACCACATTCTCATCTTGTTATTTACTTGTTTGTTTTATTTTTTGCTTTCTGTTTTTGTTGTACCTGCTTTCTGGAACAGTTCTTCACCAAACTTGAAACCCGTCGTCATGATCATCTTCTCTGTGCATCTTAAGTCCACCGATGTACTGAACAAACTGGTAACAGCGGGAAAGCCGATACGGAGGTTAACGGTCAGCTGGTAAGCGAAAAGGAATGGTGTCATACCGCCACATAGCCTTTGTTTTAAACAAAATCCAGCCATACGTACTTCTGGCTAAATAATTTGCACTCTTTAGAAATGTATATAGGGATAGGTTTTCAGAATAAGCCTATGCTGATTGTAACAGATATACAACTATATGAATCTGGTTTTTGTTTTGTCTTTATGATTTATGGGGTGTGAACAGACAGATGTGGGGAGAAAACTCATACACTATGGCCAGGTTAGTTTACCCAATTCACCTGTACCGCATGTCTTTGGACTGTGGAGAAAAATGGAGCACCTGGAGGAACCCATGCCAACACGGGGAGAACATGCAAACTCCACACAGAAATGCCAACTGGCCCAGCCAGGACTTAAACCAGCGACCTTCTTGCTGTAAGGTGACAGTTCTAACAACTGAGCCAATGTGCTGATGCTGAAATTAAAGTCTCAACAATTCTGCTAAAAAAAGATTTTAAGCTCTAACATGAGAAACAACATTTGAGCAGAGTGATATAGTTATATATTATATATTGACCTTATTCTTCGCCGACGAGCGGGCGCTGCCATTTGAATCTTTTTGGCTCAAGACTTCCGATCTCATTCACTTCCATTAATTTTTAGACATTAAAAACTGCTTGTTTCGCTGTTTGATGTTGCAAACTGATATTTACTTGTTATATTATTCTACTTGGTCTGTATAGTCATGCAAACATTTTTTTGTAGAGCAAGTAGTTTGACAGTTTTTTGCCGTTTATTATTCCTTGTCATTTCTCCCATGGGTGACTGAAACGGAAGTTCTAAGACAATCACGAAAACAGGCGCACTTCCGCATTTTAGAAAAAGGTCAATAGAGAGAGTGATATATTATTATATTACAGATTTAAATAAAAAATCTGATGTTTTATAAATATTTTACTAACCGAAAACTTCAAAAAGGCTTTGAGCAATAGTGTAATACAAAGGTTCAAACCAAAAGTATTTAGGGATTGTGATTTAATCTTTCTCTTAAAAAGGCATGTGTAAATACAAAAGCAGCTCTTCACGGTCGATGTACTGCAGTCTTCATGCCAGCAATGTAGATTGCAGATTGCCACATTTGCCATTATTTTTCAGCTTGATGATGTTACCT